ACTATCTCCCTGTGAAGGAAACTCAGTCTGGAGACCTGGGACACAGTAGGTCCTGGGGAACACAGAGGGTCAGAACTGGGTGCTGGAAGTGAGCTGGCATCAGAAATCCCAAAGAGGGACCCTGGACCAAGCAGGAGTGGATCTTTCTCACAGACACATGGTTGTGTGTGAAGGGTGAATGTGTTTAGTGTGGTCACTGGTCCTAGCTCTGTGGTCCATAGTCTGTCCCCCTAGCTGTTACAACAGATAAACCACATGTTGAGATCTGTTTCCAAAAAAGTCTAGATAACAAACAGTTGCTAAGAGAGGGTGACTTTGAAGTGATCCCTGTTTCATGGTGTGTGTGTGTGTGTGTGTGTGTGTGTGTGTGTGTGTGTGTGTGTGTGTGTGTGTGGTTTTGTTTTCAGGCTGAATTTGGGAAGAGAATCCATCTGAATAGCCGGTTTCCAGGGGTGGAGAGACTTCCCAACACCTGCAACTTTTCCATCCAGGGGTCCAAGCTCCAAGGTGACTACTGGTTTTACCCTGGCCCCTGGGTGTGTTGGGGTCTGAGCCCTCCAGCGCTCCCGGCACAGTGCAGCTGATGTTGTTGGCAGGGCATTTCCCAGGGTGACTGGTAGCTCAGCTAGGGCTGAGAGCAGACTGTGCCCGGGGCCAGCCTGTCCTAGAAACGAGAGGAAATCAGTCCAGGGTAGAGAAGCTCTTCTGCTAAGGATTACAAGAGAAGAGAATGTAGAGACCACTGTGTCAGCTGCAGGAGTCCGTGTTCAGGTGACGTCTTCCCCAGAGCGGACAGGAGCTCCTCGGTAGGGGTATCCCTTCTCAGTTCCCTGAGAGCCTCAGCCTAGGGCCCCAGACCTGTGTTTCCCTCAGGAGCTCCTGGTGGAGCCACATGTGCAGGAAGCTTTTGACTTCTTTCTTTCTTTTTTGGTTTTTCGAGACAGGGTTTCTCTGCAGCCCTAGCTGTATGCTGGCTGTCCTGGAACTCACTCTGTAGTCCAGGCTGGCCTAAATCAGAGATCCACCTGCCTCTGCTTCTGCCTCTCAAGGATTTGTTTGTTTAGGAGTATCTGAGGGCTCTGTCTGCATGCTGCCTGCAGGTCAGAAGAGGGCATTAGATCCCATTATATGTGGTTGTGAGACACCATGTGGGTGCTGGGAAGTGAACCCGGGTTCTCTGGAAGAGCAGCCAGTGCTCTTATCCACTGAGCCATCTCTCCAGCCCTTGGTTTTTGACTTCTTGGAAGAAGATGTCACTGCTCATCTCCCTGGGTCAGAGAGGAGCCTGCTGTCCCGATGGGACACGGTGGCAGTTGGAGCTGGAGCACATGCTTGTGGAGCGGAAGCAGACATGCTTGCCCTCCTCACAGACCCCTTGTGGAGGAAGCTGCCCCCCCCCCGACTTTTACAGGGGCAGCTGTGCCCACTGATGACCTGTGTTGATTCAAGTGGGACAGAGGGTCTTAGTTTAACCACACTAGCAGCCCTGGAGTTTTAGGGTTTAATCCCAGGCCTGTGAGAAGAGGGTAGTGTGCCCCGAGTGAGCACAGCAGTAGGGAGCTGACCTCAGTGCACCCAGGACCAAACCTGTGAGCAAGGCAGCCTGGCAGCGTCCCTGTGAGGTGGGTGGTTAGAATGCCGTTTTCAACTCCGGTCTTAGGAGGCAGAAGAGTGTTGGCATTTCAGAAGCTGGAAGTAAAAGGAAGTCGTTTTCCTGGAGTTCTGCCTACACTGGATTCAGTGGGTGGCGCCAGGGAATCGGACTCAGAAGGCTGGGAGGGAGGGGAGATGGCCCAAGACCTGCATCTAGGGACACATGCTATCTTCACAGGGTACATGGTGCTTGCACAGTGCCAGACATTGCTGGCCAGTGTGGGAGCTTCGTGCCACTCAGATCATGAAGACCGGTGAGTACTCTTAGCTACACCCGGCTCTCAAGTGGAGGGGTGGCTGAGCCACAGACTCACGCAGGGGAGAAGGGTGCCACCCCTAGCTGGGAGCAGGAATGGGTGCCTGTGGATGGGAGTGGAGCTTGGTGAGTGAGCTTGGCTCTGGGACAGCAGCCAGCTAGCAATACTGGGTCCAGAACTGGTGGGATGGTACGTGGGCATGTGAAGGAAGAATACAGAGGGTCTCTGTGCCAGCCAGCAGAGAAAGACAAGGACCAGGGAATCAGTGCTTCACAGAAGAGAGAGAGGATCTATGGAGGCCAACAATGCCTAGAGTCCAGCATCTGGGGGCTGAGGCTCCGTCAGGAGCTGGGAGACTGGGGCCAGCTGGAGAGCAGGGGCGAGTGGGAGGTGCAGATGGGAAGGGCACAGGGCTGCCCCAATGGAGCACTAGATGACATTGTTTAAGGAACATTTACCATGACCCCAATATAGGAAAGCTCCAGGAACCAGGGCTCAGGGCAGAGCTGAACACAGGTGGTGGATACATGGGAGGAAGGTATTAGGGTTAGGAAGCAGCATCGTTCTCCATCTGGAGCACAAATGGGTACCAGAGAGAGTGGGAGAATTTGGGGGGGGGGGGGCTTACCTTTGAGTCGGCTTGGAGGAATGTTTGGGGACAGGAGGGCTCCAAGAGGCCAGTGTCAGCAGGTCATGTAGGTAGGCGCTGAGTGGACACAGTACACCCTGCGCTTGAGGATCTGGCTGAGAGGTGTGAGCACAAAGCGGGCCAAGTCCTCAGCAGCAGCTGATCCTGTCCCTCCCCTGCAGGCCGTCCCCAGTGCTGCTGAGCTGTGGTATCCCCGTGGACGTGGCCCGGAATGCACTCCGGCTCAGTGTGGGCCGCAGTACCACCAGGGCTGACGTGGACCTCATTGTACAGGACCTGAAGCAGGCCGTGGCCCAGCTGGAGGGCCAGGGCTAGCCTGGGCTAGCCGCCACTCTTTCTCTCGGTGGCCGGCTGAACTTTGGCCACTCGCTCCATAGGAAACCCCCTGTGAAAGTACCCAGCCCCTAAGCTGTCCCCGCTGAGACGACTGTCTTACTCCGGGGTGCACAGGGATGAGGGCTGCCTGTCACACAGAATCCCACTCCAGCCCCACCCTTACAGGCTCAGGACACCAGTGCCACATAGGACCTCCCCGTCACCTTCTGCCAAAGGCTGTGTGGGAATGGGAGTGTTGCAGGTATGGGTCAGCCTGTCAGGAACACCTGATAAATGAAGACAAAACCCGGTCTTTGTCCCCTGTCACTTAGCTGCTATTGTGAAAATAGGAAACAAGGTTTTGTCTCTACCCATGGCCTCCCATGTGCCCGTGCAAAGCCCCCCCCCCCTGCCAAATGCAGCCCTGCCTCCTTCTGCTGGCCTCAGCGTCCCACTGCCCTCCTGCCCCCCTGGCCTGATGGTCCCTCAGATGAGGCCTCATGCCTAGCAGGCCCTTCCTTGTTCCTGGAGGTCAGAGTTCACCCTGCCACGTGTCTTCTCCCTCCCTTCTACTCAGGGATTCAACTCCGGTGTGGCTGACGGGAGGCTGCTGTCTGTCCTTAGCCTTTGCCAAAGTGGGAAACCTGATCACTTCTCACGCGGCTTTAATTTTAATTTTCTTTGCAAAGGTATCTGTGATCTTGAGGATGTGTGGCACACACATAACAATATTTATATAGGCATACCTTCTTGAAGAATGTTTTTAGTATCTGGGTCTATGGGCCAAAGGATGACAGGACACGTGGAAACAATTATCAGAAATTAATGAACTAATAAAAGATGTCTACAGTTGCTGAGATGTCTTGAGCTCTTTCTGGTGGTGGTGGGAGATTCTCTGTTTTGCTGCGCACAAGGCTGGTGTTTGCCTGTCTGTCTGTCTGAGCTAAAGGGAAGGAAGTTCCTGGTATATCACTGTGAAATGAAGGAAGGGACTTCTGGTGGACTGAGAGAGGCCATGCTTGTCCTCTCTTCCCCAACAAGGACCATGGATGGTCTGGATCCCAAGAATGCTGTGGCCAGAGAGGGCAATGTGGAGCTGTGAGGACGTCACCTTCAGTGTGGGGCTGTGGGGACGTCACCTTCAGTGTGGGGCTGTGGGGACGTCACCTTCAGTGTGGGGCTGTGGGGACGTCACCTTCAGTGTGGGGCTGTGAGGACGTCACCTTCAGTGTGGGGCTGTGGGGACGTCACCTTCAGTGTGGGGCTGTGGGGACGTCACCTTCAGTGTGGGGCTGTGGGGACGTCACCTTCAGTGTGGGGCTGTGAGGACGTCACCTTCAGTGTGGGGCTGTGAGGTCATCCTCATCTTAAAGGCCTTACCATCCAACAGCCATTGGAAGCTCACCCAGTGTCAATGCTGAGAACAGCCAAGGACCAGGGTTCAAATAAGGAGTCCAGCCAGGCATAGTGGTGCACACCTTTAATTCCAGTCCTCGTGAGGTAGAGGCAGGTGGAACTCTGTTGTCTGTGGATTCCAGACCCCTAGTGAAACCCTGTCTCAGGTAAACACAAACACACACACACACACACACACAGAGAGAGAGAGAGAGAGAGAGAGAGAGAGAGAGAGAGAGAGAGAGAGAGAGAGAGAGAGAGAGATTGAGACCTAGGGGTCTCCAGTGATGGTATTTAGACCCTAAAGGCTGCCACAGTGGGTCTACTCTTCAAGGAGAATTGAGAAGCCTCCTGGGTGGCTGGCTAGTCTCTCACTGAAATATTGCTGGCACGGGTATTTCTGAGCCTGAGCTGACTGTAGCTGTGAACACCCTCTGGAGTCTTCACATGGAGACCCATGCCAAGCCAAGAGGCTGGCTGAGGCGTCCTCTGGCTTCCCTCTGTAGGTGATAGGGCTCCAGCTGATGAGTGGCACCTGCTGGCCTGACTTGTGTATTCTGTCCTCCAAGGCTGGACTCTCCATGCTCAGAAGCTCCAGGCACTGAGCCCAAGTTGCTTGGGCCAGGCTTTGAGGGCCAGTCCCCCAGGGCCTGCCCCCCTGTTGCTGCCTCCCATCTGCCCAGTGAGCTGCTTATCAGGTAACCAGAGCCCTCAGCGGCGTCCACGCCTGAAACAGGAAGCCCTGCTGGGCCTGTATACAAGCCGCCGCCACCGAGAACGGACTTGAGGATGGAGGAGCAGCAGGCACTGGTGGCTTCCCAGGACGGGGATGTGGCTACCTTGGAGCGGCTGCTAGAGGCAGGTGCCCTGAGCCCAGGCATCACTGATGAGTTGGGGGCTGGCCTGGTGCACCATGCCACCCGGGCTGGCCACCTGGAGTGTGTCAAGTTCCTGGTGCAGAAGGCCAAGCTGCCCGGCAACCAGCGGGCACACAACGGGGCCACGCCAGTCCACGATGCAGCGGCCACTGGCAACCTGGCAGAGCTGTGTTGGCTGGTCCGTGATGGGGGCTGCGGCCTGCAGGTAAGCTAGGATAGGGTGGCTCTGTGCCTGCTGTCCAGGAATCTGGCTGGGGCAAGTCCAGAAGCTCTGATCCCTGGAGGGTCCTAAGCTCTGTCTCAGTCAGAGAGGTGTGCCTCTGTCTCAGTCCGAGATGCATGCCTCTCACCCCCCCTCCACCCCCCACCAAAAACAAAGAAAACAGCAGAAACCCTTGAACACCAAGGCCACATCAGTCACCCTCATATGTATCCAGAAAAGTCACCTAGGCTTTTCTACCCCTCCCCCAGCAAGGAGCACCTAGGACCACCAATGATGGCCTTGCCTGTGTTCAGGATCTCATCTCTGATCAGACCTGATCAATAGAACCTGTTCCCCAAAGGGTCAGGAAGCGGATTTGTAAAGAGGTACCTTGGGCTCTCAGGATTTTGGAGCCCTGGGGACACAGGCTGACAGCCGCCCTAGTGAGAAGGCTCTGGAGTCGGGTGATCATCCTGCTAGACTGTGTCTGTAGAGCTACCAGCCTCCTACCCGCTCACATGCCTAGACCTGCTTGGCATGGGGCTCGAGGGTTGTCAGCCATGCTGTGTTCTTGCGAGCACAGGAAAGCCGTCAGAGTTGGATGGAGACCAAGACACCAGCACATGGCAGAGAGCTGCTCCAGCCTCCATGCCCCTCCTCACAGACTCTTCCAATGACCCCCGAGGGCAGAGGGCAGGTGCTCGCCCATCCCCAGACTCACTTTGGATTATAGCACCCTCAGGGAATGCCCAAGTCTGCCAGATGCTTAACACCTTGGGGACCATGCTGGGGAGGAATGAGGGTCAGAGGTCTAGAGGGCGCTGTCCTGGGACACCTATGGTGAGAATCATTGTGCTGGCAGAAGCCTTTCTGAGCATGCGCAGAATGTGCAGGGACTCAGCTGATCAGAAAGGCAGGCAGCTGGGGTGGGGAGGGACCCCAGGGGGCCTAGCCCAGCTTCTTCCTCAGTCAAGATACTTCAGTCTCGGTAGGCGATGGAGGAAGCCGGGAAGGAGCCAGCTTCAGGCGGTATAGGGTCCTCCAAGAGGCCAGCCTCAGGCAGCTCTCTCTGGCCATGTTGGTGGCGTCTGCAGAGGCTCAGGGTCCTGCTCGTGTCCCTGCAGGACCAAGATGCCACAGGTGTCTCCCCATTGCACCTGGCTGCCCGGTTTGGACATCCAGCCCTGGTGGAGTGGTTGCTACGCGAGGGCCACGCGGCCACGCTGGAGACGCTGGAGGGGGCCTTGCCACTGCACCACGCTGCTGTCAGTGGTGACCTGACCTGTCTGAAGCTCCTGACGGCTGCCCACGGCAGGTGAGAGCCCAGGGCCTTGCCCATAGTGGCTGGCCACCGAGGGAGCCCGCCCAGGGGAGAGGCAAAGAAGATGTGATGGTGGCCTGTAGAGGCGGGCCCTGTGACTCCAGAGCCAGAGGATAAGCAGGGGGAGAAGGCATGGATGCAGGCTCTGCATGGGGAAGGGAGGGCCTTTAAACATAGGTGCAGCATTGCACCGGTTGGGTGGGGGGACCCTGCAAGAATTGCACCCAAATGGTGTTTGGGAAAAGCAACTGCCTTCAGTCATTCTCCACACTGGAATCACCTTGACCGGACCAGCCTCAAATCCAAGGCCGTGTGCCCCACCCTCTAGAGTTGGGATGAGAGAAGATAGGGCCAGACCCACTGAGGCACGCAGCCTCCAAATTTTTCTCCCCTCCTTCATTATGTTCCGGTCTGAGCCCTATACAAAGCTCACCTGGCTAGAACCAAGGGGGCAGAGGGACTTTGTAAGGAAAGAGACTCAACCCTTGCCCCTTGAGCAAATCATTCAGCTCTCAGCCTCAGTTTCCCCTTCTGCCAGTTGAAGCTTGTAATGGCCTTTCCAAGATGGAGTAGAGGCGCCCCCTCTGGAGTGGATCCAAAGTCCCTCAGTGAGCTGCAGCGTGTCTGGGAAAGCATGTTGTTACTCCCCTGCCTCCTCTGCCTGAGTGGCCCCCTGGTTCAAGGGCCCCAGAGGTGAGGATGTGGGACGAGGCCAAGGCACAGTTCAGAGCCTTAGAAGACAGATATGCTTGAGCCTGGAGCAGTGAAGAGCCAAGCCTTACTGCCAAGGGAGGCCACTTTACCCAGCCCCAGTGAGCACTCGGGCAAAGCAAAGACTCTGCTCAGTGTCCAGCAGGGCTGCTCGGTGGCAGCAGACACTGCCAGTCACAGTGGCACGGGGGGGGGGGGTCTTTGGGAGTTAGGGGTCAATTCTGTGTCTCTACAGGGATGACTGAGAAGGCGGTCTAGACTGTGACCCTCCTCCATCTAAAATGACTGATATGAGTGAGCTTGACCCAGGCAAGGAAAGAGGAAAAGAAAACACAGTTTTCTTGCAGGGGGTGGGGGGTGGGGTACAGAGCCCATTGAGACAGAAGCTGGAAGGAATTAGGGAAACTCGGACTATATATATGGTCAGGGGTCGGGGATCAAGGACAAGTCTATGTCACCCGAGGATGATGTCAGCTTGGGGTAGGACACTGCCCACCCTACCCCATCCCCCACCCCCCTGCAACTGGTCACTGGGAACCAAGGATTCACCCGGGCCTGAGAGTGACCCTCCGAAAATCCCCCGAATGCTACCCCAGCTCAGCCTCCCTGGGGCAGTTCTGACTGCAGGCCTCATGAGCCTCCCTCCATCACAGTGGTGTGAACCAGCAGACCCGCAGCGGTGCCTCTCCACTCTACCTGGCCTGCCAAGAGGGCCACCTGCACCTGGCCCAGTTCCTGGTGAAAGACTGTGGGGCCGACGTGCGCCTGCGTGCCCTGGACGGCATGAGCTCACTGCATGCTGCGGCTGCTCGTGGCCACTACTCTCTGGTTGTCTGGCTGGTAAGGGGGCACTGTGGGGAACAGGGCATCCAGGGAGTCCAGGCTCTAGAGCCATCTGGGCCAGGAATGGGGACTCCGAGGCACTGGGGTCACACAGGTCACCAGAGTATGAGGTGGAACTCTGCAGTGCCCGAGGAACTATAGGAAACATAACAGCCCCCAGAGTTCTCAGGGCCCCTTCCTAGGGATTGGGTGCCTCTCTGGAGTTCATTTGGTGTTGATGATTGTCCCCAGTCACAGATGCCAGCGCCTGGCCTGAAACACTCAACCACATTCAAGGCCCAGAGCTCTGGGCCAGTCCCTTACCTTTCTCGGGAAGAAAATCCCAAACTCCAGAGTGGCTGGAGTTGGGCCAGGGTGGGCAAGGGACTTCTTCACAACAAAACACCAGCCACCCCCGGAGGAGGTAGGCACTTCAAGAGTCCACTAGAGATTCCATAGTGTCCAAGAGTTGGGGAGGCCCCCCTGGAGGAGGAGGCAGAGGAGGAAGAAGCGCTAGAGATGAGCAGGAAGTAGCTTGAAGTGCATTGTGGGAAACATGACTCAAGGCAGTTCCTCAGAAGAGGATGCATCACACTCACAGGCAGGAAAGCCTGGCCTCTGGGCCTGGGGTGGCAAAGACGGAGGGGGCCCTCGGTGGCTCTATGCCAAAATTTTCCATGCAGAATAGAAAGTCATCCTGGCTGCCAGTGAAGGAGGCAGGGGTGGTCCTTGATCACTCCATCCAGCCTCCTCTCTGGGCCTCTGAACATGCTGTGCTTTGCGCCTTTCTGAGATCCCTGGGTGTCTCTGGTACTAGTACCTGACCATCAATACATCTGCCTGGCACCACAGCGGGTGTCTCCACCCACCCTCTGGAGGTTGGGTTCTGTCCGTCAGCTGGATTCCCTGAGCCTGGCGGTTAGTGTGAGGAGACACAGAAAGAGCAATGTCCGCCCACACTTGCTTTGACACCCACCCTCCCACAGGTCCCTGAGGTTGTGTCCTTTGCCTTCAGCTTCCGTGGTAGCACCTGCCCAGTCACTAGTGTGTCACTTGTGTGTGCTGCCCCCCCACTACCCCAGCTCCCCCAGGAGAAAGCCTGGGCTCCGGGCTGCCCGATTCCCCAATCCCTTCTGTCCTCGAGGCCTTGCCCATGGCCTTGCTTGCAGATCTAAGTCGGTCACTTGAGACCACGACCCTCACCTGTGCAGTGCCGCAGGTCTGAGGCTTGAACTGGCTCTCCTGCCTCCTGGATGGGAGCCAGCGAATGAAATTGGAGGAGTCGCCATGGTGATGGCTTGTGGCGGGCACAGGTGATTTATCCCCTGAGACCTTTGGATTGTGCTAAGGTGGGCACATGCTAGCCTGACAGACACAGTGGGCTGTGGGTCTTCAGGGACAGGACAGCTCAGTGGTAAGGCTCCTTTCCACAGTAGGGGAACCCCGCCTTCGTGGAAGATGCTGGCCCCATTGAAGGCAGTAGAGAAAGCAGAAAGGGCAGAAGCACCACAGTCCTTAGCCCTTCCTCTAAGGAGTTTCCTGCAGACCCCACAGAACACAGACAAAGGCAATCCTAGAAGTCCCCATTTCAGCAGGCAAGCCCATGGGAGAGTGGGCACGGCTTTCGGTTGGACAGCCTGAGAGGACCCCAGCTGGGTACTGTGGAGCAGACCCCATGGTGCCTTCACAGGGCAGATGAAGCCAGAGACAAAGGCAGACCCCAAGGCCCCAGCCAACAGAACAGGCCCGAGGCCATGTGACCAGCTCTGGGCTAGAGCTATGGGGGAAGGTGCATTACGCCCAGGCCTCTAGCAGCACCCTCCCAGATGAGCGGAGACACCCAAGGGCTGCATGTGCCTGCATCCTCTCTATCTCTATTGCTGGGTGCCCATGTGCTGTTCCTCTCTGGCTACGGAGTTCGGCTTGTGGGCTTCCACAGAACCTGCCCTGGCCTGGGATGCCACGTGGGTCATAAGGCATGTGGGACGAGCCAGCTCTGTCTCAAGGTTTCCCGGGGGTATCTCCACTGCCCACTGGGAATCACAGCTGGGGCGTCCCACCTCTGCTCTGAGTGCCCCTGTCCCTCCTCCCTGGGGACGGCTACCCCAGGTCCATCCTCCACGGCTGACAGCTTCGATTCTCTCACCAGGTCACGTTCACAGACATTGGCCTGACAGAGCAGGATAACGAAGGGGCCACTGCCCTGCACTTCGCAGCTCGGGGTGGCCACACACCTATTCTCGACCGGCTTCTGCTCATGGGTGCCCCCATCATGAGAGACTCCTGGGGAGGGACTCCCCTGCACGATGCAGCCGAGAATGGACACATGGAGGTAGGCTGCAATGGGGATGGGGGTGGGGGGGGCGGGCTAGGACTCTGAGCTGGCACTTTGTCAATGTGCCATCGAGTCTTCCCAGAAGTCCTTTGAAACAGGTGCCAGACCTACCCTTCTATTGGGGTAAAACGGGTACAGCAGGCAGAGCACAGGCCCTAGGTCACGAGATGACTCAGAAAAACCCCTGTTCCCTGCTCCAGGCCAGGCTCCGTGATGCATGGCCAAAGGCTAACTATGAATGCATAACTTAGACCTGCCTGCCCAGGTAGCCCAGTTTCCAGGAAGGAACCTCCAGAACCCACTATACAAGGGTGAAAGTATCACAGGTCAGGAGGTGCCAAGCTCCGAGGGCTGAGGCAGCTGGTGGCCTGTCTGGGTCTGGTCCCATGCAGGTTCCTTCTCCCCCATCCTTCCTGCCCTGAGAAACTCCAGCTCCCCTGATCCCCTCCTGCTTCCTGGATGCCTCAGGAGTTTCTGATTTTTGCCAAGGTTGCCCTGCAGCTCTCCAGGCAGACTGGCCTCCTCTATGGGGGTTGTAATTGGAAACACGTGTCCAGTGGGCCCAGTGTCCCAGCAGCGTGGGTCAGATTTTGAGTAGTCAGCCCAGTGGGAACCCAAATGTTCAGGGAGCCACTTCATCAATGCCAAGCAAGAGAATGCCACACAGTGCAGCCACAGAGTCCCTGAAGGCAACCCTGGCCCAGCTCACGACCGCTACCCGGGGGCTTTCTCTACCTTCCACACCTTCCAGGCAGGGACTCCCCCTCGCCGACCTCGCTCTTCCACAATCCCTGCTCAACTCACTCCAGCTCTGTCCCCTCTGTCCCCAGGCAAGGTGAGCCTGGAGAATAGAGAGACCCACCAGAGTCCTTGGGGACCCTCCCTGTCCTGTCTGGGTGGAATGACAGGTGACCCTGGCCAGAAGAGGGGAGTCACTCCCACCTCGCCCCGTGGGAGAATGCTGGGCCTACAGGCAGCTGGTGACAGACACTCTGAGCTCTGTCACTGGTCATCGGGCCCCGAGCACACCCCAGCTCCTTTTTAGGAAAAGTGAAGGGCTGTGGAGGCCAGGGGTCTTCCTGAACAGCCAGATATTCTTGTCCTATGTAAGACCGTGTGGAAGCCCGTGGATGCCAAGGAGCCCTCAGAGGAGAGCGTCCTCCCTTTAAGTCTTACGGAATCCAGGGCTCATAAGGGTGCATGTCCGCAGCAGCTCACGGCTGGACTCCTGCCTTTCTGCCCCCGGGCATAAACCAAAGGCTGGGGTGGCACCAGACACACTTGTGGTGCACACACCTACATGCTGGCAAGGCACTCGTACACATATAAATAAATGTAATGCATCTGGTCCAGCCTTCCCTCTAATTACTCTGAGCTGGACCCCTGTTTCACAGCTGTTCAGATGAGTACTTCCTGTTGCCACTTTAACCTTCTCTGTCCCATGACAGAGGCCACGGGTTGAGGTCAGGCTTCCTAATGCCTGTGTGGCCTGCAGCACTTGTCCTGAATGGTGCTTCTCCAGCTTAGCTTAACCTCCAGAGAACTTCAAAATGTGCCGGCAGCCCACTCCACCCCCCCAATTCTGGTTTTAACCGGTCCTGGGTAGGGCCTGAGGAGGACTACTGCAGACTCCCCAGGGGGTGCTCACCTGGGGGGTGCCTGATGGGAGGGCCATGTATGAACAGTGTCAGTAAACCCCATCTACAAAAAGCCACAAAGACGTGGGCGTACATGGGAAGGAGCGAGAGGGCTGGGTGAGGTCAGCGTGGCAGGGGGAGGCTGGGAAGAGGGCAGGTGAAGCAAGGCTCGTGAGGGAGAGAACTCATGGGTGGAAGGGCCCGGATGTGGTGTAGGAGACCATCTCAGGCTGCAGGAGGCCAGGAGTTCATGCTGTCTGAAGGAGGGCACTGAAGTAGGACAGGCTGTGGAGGAAGACAGGACAGATGTGCATGATGCTGCCTCAGGCCAGATGTGTGGCTACCACTGACTGTTAGCTCTCTACCCAACTAACTCCAGAAAGAACATGTAGAAAGCCCGGGGGTACCCACTAAAGCCCCATCCTTGGAGGTTCAGCCAACTACTGGGTCTCGCGCCCTGCAGTGGGTGCCCACACCCTCCCTTGGTCACAGTCATTCTCTCAACAGACACAGAACTAGGTATGCTTGTCAGTGCAGGTGGGTTCTGTGGGGGCCATCCCTCTGTGGGTCCCGGAAACTTGGGTCTGGCCTCGGTGGTTACAGTGGCTGGGGTGCACTTAGGGGACAGGAATGTTGGCTCTGCCAGAACGGCCCGCTCAGTGAAGAACACACTTGCACCCGGTGAGTCTCCTCGGGGCTCCGGGCTCAGTATGTGGGTGTGAAAACCCAGTCTGTGATCATCCGAGCCAGAGCCTCCCTAAATGCCTCACTCCCTCAGTCAGAAGCGAGTGTGCATGCACACATCTGACCCTCTCTGACCAGAATGCACTTCAGATTCCTCTCTAGAAATGGCTCCACAGTGTGCGTTGAGGGGCAGACATTTTGTTTCATCCCAGCTTTAAAAATGATGCCACTCACTGACAGCGATTGCTGGGCCTGATGTTGGCACACTTCACTAGTCTGCCTTTTTTTTTTTTTTTAATTGTTTTTGCCTTTTGGTTTTGGCACTGCCCCTGTTCTCAGCCAAAATGCCGAGAAGGTATGCTGGTTTTGTTTTTTATTTTTAATCATTTATTTATTTATAGGCAGGGTTTCTCTGTGGAGCCCTGGCTGTCCTGGAACTCACTTTTTAGACCAGGGTGGCCTCGAACTCACAGAGATCCGCCTGCCTCTGCTGGGATTAAAGGTATGCGCCATCACAGCCCAGCATGCTGTCTTTGTTTTTAAAACAGAGCCTTGTGTGGCCTAAAACTCACTTTGTAGCCGAGGGTGGCCTTGGTCTTCTAATCCTCCTGCTTTTGTCTCCTGGGTGCTGGGACCTTGGGCGTGCATTCCCACACCTGGTTTGTGTGCTATTACGGGTGACTGAACCCAGGGCTTCATGCATGCTAGACAAGGGCTCTACCAACTGAACTACATCCCCGGCCACAACAGCCTGACTTCCTGACTGCTCCGTCTGTCACGATCCTGCCTACAGGTAAATCGAACTGTCACCTGTAACCTGGGCGTGGTGGTGCATCAATCCCTACCGTCCCAGCACCTGGGGGGCAGAAACAAGGGAATGGCAAGTTTGGGGCCATCCTCCCAGGGAGACCCTGTCTCAAAAGAGAACAACGAAACAAACAAACAACAACAACAAAACCCGATGGCAACAAAACATCTTTCGTGTAATCTTGACACAACTATGAAGAGAGCCTGGGGTGAAGATTACTATTTAGCTAATTAATTGATGAGGAATCCGTAATTCCAAGTGACCCTGTGTGCACAGATCAGCGATGTTGAGAGCCTTCACAGCTGGGCAGAGCTGGCCACTAGTCATCTCCACCTACTCCCTTGCCTTCCCGTGGGCAGGAGTCCTGTGCAGGACATCAGAGCTGGAGGTCAGAGTCCTGGACATCCTGGACAGAGCAGGGAACCCCGGTACAAAGCCCAACAGGACGGCTGGGGCTTCATCCCTTCCTCTACCTTTCTCGGCAGCGTCCGATTCAGCCATCTGGCCCTCCCGGTTTCCAGTGCAGGATTTTAATTATTTAGAAACGACGTGTACAGGTCGATGCTATCGCCCAGAGTGTTTGTGTTAGAATAGTGAGTGAGGTATTAAGAAAGGCCGGGAACAGAAGGCTCAGGGTGTGCTGGGGCCGAGGATTCAGGACAGTTGCCCTCAGCGACCCAGAGCTCCTCCTTGTCCGTAGGGCAGCCGTGGAGCTACCCGGGTGGATGGAGGCTATGGGGTCCTCACCATGACCTTAGAAGAATTCTTAGCTTCCTCATTCCCCTTCTGCAAACCTGGGGGAAGCTGAGGCTCGCACAGTGGCTGGGAGACAGGGCTGGAGCCTGGTACACCTGGGCCTCATAGGAAGGACTTGTGTGCTCTCTGCTCAGCTCAGACATGGGCCTCCAGCTGGGGCCACGGTGGCATCAGCTTTTCAGACAGGGTGTGGAGACCAGTGTGAGAAGCTGGGAGAGTGAGAGAAAGCGGGTCGTGGGGGACATGGGGAGGGCCATCTTCAACAGTTCTGTTTCTTCAGCTCTTAAACCCCCACAGACTTTCTCTTTTTAAATAAAACAAACCCACAAATCTACGTCTTCCCCCCTTGCAGATCAAGCTCCCATGTGGAATCGCTGTCCTGCGGTCTGGTGTGTCTGTTGGGGGCTCCCTCCGTGAGGCTGTGTGGCTGGGAATAATTTGTTCTTTCTGGGTGCTTGCCTCCAAATGTCTTTATGTCCTCGGCAGCCGCGAGGGATGTCTTTGCCAGAAATAATCTGGTGGCGGGAGACAGCTGTGGTGTGGTGCGGTGCGGTGCCCACCTGCAACCCCAGGATTTGGGAGGTGGAGGCAGGAAGAGTTCAGGAGTTCAAAGGCAGACTCGGCTACAGAACAAAGTTGAAGTCAGCAGAGGGCTCTAGGAGACCTTGTCTAGGGGAAGGAGAAAACAAAACAAAACAAAAAACAAAAAAAGTTTTTACTTTGTGATGTCCAACCTTTCTTTTCTGTGTGCTTTTGCTTCCCAGTCCCTGTCCGTTAGATGGCCAGGGGCCCGTGTCCTGAGGTCGTCCTGTCCCTCACTTGTACTTTCGGCAGTCTACCTACGCTGAGGGGACAGTAGGCAGGTGGGCCTCTGCAGGTCCCCTGGGATTTGCTGGCACTCCTGGAGGATTTGTGCTCTGGCATTTGCCATCCGTTCACAAGAGCCTCAGCCATGCTCTCTTGGACAGCACCTCTGCCCCAGTCTGTCTCTTCTTCCGGGGTTCACAGCACACATATGCTGGCCTTGGCTGTCCTGCGTGAGTCAGCCTTCAACCGCCTCAAGCTTATGAGTCTCTTGTTTCTGCCCCCCAGGTGCTGGGATGGTAGGGATGCACCACCACGCCCAGGTTACAGGTGACAGTTTGATTTACCTGTAGGCAGGATCGTGACAGACGGAACAGTCAGGAAGTCAGGCTGCACAGCCGACGAGGAGGAGACGTTTGCTTCCCTCACAGCGTCAGGGTTTTCAGTCCATGGTCACCCTGTCTCGTGGCTGTGGGCCTGGGACCACATAGAACATCACGACGGGAACACGGGATAGGGGGAGAGAGGGAGGGGATAGGGATTAGGGGCCCAGTATGCCCACTGGCCTAACATTTTTCTACTAGACCCAATCTCCTCGAGGTCCCACTGTATCTCAATAGCACCACAGACTGGAGACTAAGACAGTCCTCTAAAGGATGTCTGTCCTAAATATGGCGCAGACCTGCCGGGTTTTCTGTTTCCTTTTGGAGTCTGTCTGTAGTATCTCAGGGACTTTTTTTTTAAAGTTACATTTTGAACTTAGCTTACTAACCGGTGGGTTTCCACGAGGCATTTTTGTGCATCTTAGCTTTGACTCCCACCTCCCCTCAGCCCCTGCGCCCACCCTCACTCACTCCTGTAACTCCCAGAATCCCCCTCTTCTTGCATGCCATATGTATTCTGCTGTCCCTGGGATTACATTTTCACCTGGGTTATGAGGTGGCTCCCACGTGGCTTTCCACACACCGTCCCTCGGGGTTAGCCTTCCATGGCTTCCCTCTTCCCCCAACAGGCCTCCCTGCTGGTCTCTCAACTCCCAAGGTTCCAATGCCCTGCTTTGGTTTTGTCTAACCCAGTCCTCTTCCCCTAATGTGGCCCCCCGGGGTGCTTCAAGTTAGACACACACAAGATTATACTGGGTCCACGTCTAAGAGAGCATGTGGCATTTGTCTTCCTGGGCCTTGGCGACCTCACTGGTATAGTTTTTCCCATGGATTCATCCTGACCTGTGCTGCCAGTTATCCAGCCTCCGTCCTTCATTATATTCGTCTTTTTTTCTGACTGTCATTTTCGATCTACTGTATCAGGTTTTCTGGTTTTGGTTTTGGCTTCTTAAATTTTGAGACCAGGTCTCATGTAGCCCAGGCTGGCCTGGTGCTTCCTGTGTAGCTGAGGGTGACCTTGAACCTCTGACCTTCCTGCCTCCACCTCCGCGTGCTGGTGTTGCAGGTGCACACCACCACGCCTGTTTGTGAGGTGCTAGAGGTGGAACCCAGGGCTGGGTGCGTTCTAGGCAAGTGCTCTGCCCACTGAGTCACACCCCAAGCCCCACATCACTTTTACTGGCTATGATACCTTGTCTAAATATTCACACTCCGGCTTTGTTTCTTTGAAAGTCATGATCATGGTGGTTTTTCTGGACCCATTTGTTGGAGTCAATCATTTCTCATATTTTCCCGAATCCTTCACTTCTATTGACTGTGCTGGACATTTTAATTGGGAAATCGTCTATAGGTGTAATTGGAGTGATTTATCGCATTTGCCGGGGCAAGAGCGAGAGGTACAAGCCTGGTCCATTTTAATCTTTATTCCATGCTGGAGGTTCCCGGGCCTCCTTGAAGCATGAGGCCGTCAACTGGCTCATAGATGCTCTTAGCCTCCATGGCCCTTCTGCAGCTCCTGTCTCCTTGGTCCCTAGGTCTTTAGGCCACTGGGAGAACAGTCCTGTGTCATCGCACCTTTGTGGGGCGGGGTGGATCTGAGTGTTAGGCTAGCCCCTCCTTAGGCCTCCCTCCTCTCCTGGGCTTGACCTCATCAGCTCCCACTTCTTTATTCTTTGATGTTTAGGAAGACATGCTGTGTGTGTCATCCTTGGGTTGGGGCACTTGCTTTTCCCCTCCCTGGAGTGGACCCAGCTGCTCACCTGCTGCTCATCTGCTCCTGCTGTGGCCTCCTGGGATGTCCAGACTTGCACCTTGGCTGTCTCTCACCAGCCGCCTTCTGCTCACAAGTGCCAGCCCCCAGGGCATCCTTTACTCCGGCCAAGTTCTTCCACCGCCGTTGCTGTCCTCCAGTCCAGGCCGCACCTGCTCTGTCCAGCACTACCTGGGGCCAGGCTCGGTGCTCTGTGCCCTCCTACATTGTCTCTGCTCTGCAGACCCTATGACCTCCTCTCCAGGGCACCTCAGCCCCTCTTACTGCCCAGGAGTCTCCCACAGCTTATCCAGCTTAGACGGCTTGGGCCTATGCCTCAGCTTGGCCTTGCTCCAGCCATGAGCTCTGGAGGAGCTGGCTCACTGACCTGAGAAAGATGCCTCACTCACCTCTGGAAGGAGCCTATGAGGGACAGACAGTCACTGGCAGGTTGCTGAGTGACCAAGCCTGCAGCCAGGGAAGTGGCCCGAACGTTCCCACTGATACCCAGTGAGCCATGTGTGTTATGGAGTATCCATGTTCTCCACAGTGCTGCCAGACCCTGCTCTCCCACCGTGCAGACCCCTTCCTGCGGGATGAAGATGGGTACACAGCGATGGATCTGGCGGACTATCACGGACACCAGGATTGTGCCCAGTACCTGCGGGAAATGTCTCGGCCGGTAAAACCTCGGGAGCCCTGTCTGTTCTGGAGGACCGGGGAGGTGGGCTTGGCAGCTGGCTACAATGCTCCTTTAACATACCTCTCTCACCTCAAACACTTGCCGGGGACAAAGGCTTTGAAAGAACCCAGCCGATGACGCAGTAAACCAGAGGAAGCAGAGGCCAGGCTGCAACCCTGGCCAGGGCAGGAGCTGTCATGGGAAGGTCCTGTGACTGGGGTCAGGCTGTGAGGGGGGCTGAGGCAGGACTGGACAAGCCGTGCCTGTCATGTGGACCACAGAAATTGTGTCTGTGTCTTGGAGATGTTACTTCAGGCTGAGCATGCTCAGGGGTGGAAGCAAGACCCTACCTTGGCTGAGGTAACTCTCCCGAAGTCCATCATTCTCCAGAGGTAGGAGGCTCTCTCTTCTCCATGTGGGGCTCTCCATCTCCCCCGCTCTTGGAGCCAGGATCCTTCATTATTCCAATGGGTCCCTGTTCCCAGCACAGGACAGAGTCCAACAGTTTGCTGATTGAACTAATAAGGGAATTCACAGAGGAGTGGTTTGGTGAGAGCAGACGGCCAGAGGGGGAGGACAGGGAAGTGGAGCATGTCGGAGGGTGTTCTGTGGGTGTAGTTTAATGACTTGGATCCAACTCTTCCTAGTGCATCCCCCTACCCCAACCCTCTCTCCCCATCCAGCCCAAGGTAGTGACCATGATGAATTCCATCAGTTCTCAATGGTGCCACCCCTTCAGGAGGGTGACCTGTCCCACCCATGTTCAGGTGAGGGCACTGAGGCCCAGGAGGCGAGGCCTTCCTGGGGCTCACTTGAGGGGATGCCATGTTTCTCCTCCATGGGGATGTCCCCTCAGAATGTCAGGAGCCAGCTGAAGCAGAACTGTCCTTGGCCCCTTGGCCTGTGCTAGGTACCTCACAGGGTCATAGTCAAATTTTACTGCTCGAAACCAGCAGTTCAAGTGGTCTACAAGGACTCAGGGGGGACTCCTCCCAGGGTGGAAATCTCAAAACCTGGGATTCAACTGTTTTGGAAATGGACCAATGACTAAATACCAGGATGTGGCTGTCAAAGCAAGGTCCCTGCTCTGGCTGGGCTGAGCCAAGTGGTGACATGGCCATTTTCTGAAATGTGAGCATGACTATACATTCTGGACCCAGGGATACCTCAGCCACTGAAATGCCAGGCTCTTTTCCTCACTGAGGTCTGCCCTGTCCTGGGTAGCAGCTGAGATCAGGGATGAGAAGGGTGTCTGTTCCTGTGTCCCCATTGCAGGAATACCCACTCCCACGGACCAGGTACCATCCAACTTCCAAAAGTCCCTGACTAGCCCCTGACCCAGATATGATGTGAATTCCAAGACCAGAATTCTCTGTCCATGCCAGCTCTCGGCCTTCCATCTCTGTAGCCTGGCAAAGCCAGCCCCTCCTGAACCTTGCCCCACCTCAGGGACAGGGTCTCTGCATGTTCCCTTATTCCCCTGGGCTAAGGGAAACAAACCCACCTTGCCTTCCTGGGGTTGATCTGGTTCTAGCTGTGGCTGTGAAGTTATATAGGACCCAAGGCGGCGCCACACCGCTTTGCCTGGCGACCACGGGGCCTGGCACTCCTGAGTCTGCCTGGAATCCCCATGGGCCTAACACGGTCCATCCACTTCCTGTACCTCAATATCTTCCTTCTTGCTCATATGTGGGCACCCACCCAGGCCCTGCAAGCCTGACCCTTGACCTTGTGTGGGCTCAGCGGTATATATCCCAGGAGCCATTTAGAACTTCACAGTTAGGGTTAGAGCTTGGTCACCATGGTGTCTTCTTAAAGATGCCTGGTGACAGCTAGGGGAGCCTGACTCCACCACTGCTAGAAATGTCCTCGAGGCCTCCCACCTCATATGGCAGGACAGGCTGTCAGCTGCAGGCCGGCAGCAGGGGGGCGGGGGGCATGCCTGATACAATATTGATGGAAACGCAATATGCAGAGGTCGTCCGCCCTGGCTCTCTCATGTGGGCCTGAGGAGATGTGAAATCCATTCCCCCCCCCCCACCCCGGACACCACTGTCCTGAGCTGCTCTCAGGGGAATTGCGGGCCCAGGAGAGGCAACCCGAGTGCTAGGCTGTCATTATTAAGAGCAGCCCCCTGAAGGACGTATCTAAAATGACCACTTTACATCAGGGGTCTGTGGGACCTTGGCACACCCTCTGCTGAGCGTGGGACCTGCATGGAGCACTGAGGAAATTCAGGCCTTGCTTCTCCCTGGATCTCACTGTCCCTCTGCACAGGGAGAGGCTGGGCCTCCTTTCCTAGGTGGGACAGAGGCCGTGTGGCTGTTGAGGCAGTAGCCTGCGGCCCACCCCTCCCTCAGTTGGTTGATAGCCTGACCCCCTGGTGTGGGGGTCTGGAGGCTGTTTCAGAGGTGTTGGCCATCCACAGCAGGCCTGGGTGATATGCGGACAGATCTCTAAGCCCGAGGAATGCAGCCCTCACCCCTCAGGTCTGGGTTGCCCTGCTTGCCTACCTCACACATACTCCCACCAGTGTGGTGCTGGATCCTCTTGGGCACATGACACCAACCTTGACTTCCTCATCCTCAAAGCAGGCCTGAAGAGCTCGTTTGGGGGGCAGAAGCAATGTTCCTCCCCTGCTCTGCCGTGATGGCCTCAGCTCAGTCCCCTCTTCTCACTTCAGAAGACCCCCGGGCCCCTTCATAGACATGCGGGAAAACTGGGGCTAGAGAGAGCTGGGGACTTCCCCGGACAGAATCTTTTCTCGGGGCGAAGTGGAGGCGGCTGCCCACGGTAATGGAATCTCAGCTGTGGTGAATGGTGTCCAGCTCCGTCTGAGGTCATGATTTTCTCAGCCCGGGTGGCATTACAGGCCTGTAACCCAGCTCGCCACAGCTGCCCTCCATGATTAATGCATGGCAGGCTCAGCAATGCTCAAATCTCACCAAAAACAAGGAAATAGATGGCAGGCAATGGAGCCAGAGGGACCGCTACCCACAGAACAGCTGTCTGGGACATGATATGCCCGGCCATTAGGACTAAAGGATGGAGCCTGGCATCTACCCTCCTCCTACACCAAGGATTCCCTCAGGGGCCATGGCCAAGACTGAGAGGCAAGGATGAGGGGGTTCCCGCTGCCTGGAGGGCACCGTAGTTGGGCTCCCTCCTGCCCAGGTTCAGAGGGGTCAGCGCCAGTGGCTTCCTGTATAGGTCCAACCAGATGCTCCCCATGATGCCTCACCTTCAACAACCCACTTGTAGCCACCACATGGGGCTCACACTGGCTTCCCTTCCTTGTTAGTGGTCCAGGGCCCAGTGCCCAGTCAGTCCCAAGGTCCTCAAGCTGTGGGGCTGCTCTGAAGCTGGAGTCTGTTCTCCCAGCCCAGGCCAGCATCCCACCTGCTCCGTCCTCCTAGCCTGAGGAGGATGCTGCCACCCCCCACTAGGCTCCCCATCTGTCCTGGGTGAGTCGGGCAAGGACACTTGGTGCCCATCTTCTTGACAGTAGATTGGATGTCGGAGAGGGAAGCTGAGGCTCCCAGGTGGGGGTTCCCTTGTCCCCAGGTCCCACCCCAGTTGACAGGCTGAAGGTCTAGATGGCTGCCATGTCCACAGTGGGCTTGTGTTTCTTCAGTCAAGGAACGCAGAGCCTGAGCAGCTCCACGTCAGAGCGAGCAGCATTCAGATTGCCCCTGTCCTATGGGGTCACCCCTCCAACAGCCCTCAAGGGTCAAGCTCAGCATCTGTAGAGAGACTTGTCAGGCCCAGAAGCTATCCTCAGAGCTTCTGCTAGCCCTCTCCCAAGGGTGTGCTGCAGCTGTGAGCCGTTGGAAAGCCTCTGTTTCCCCCACTGCATGCTGGGAGAGGCATTTGCAAGTAGAACTCCTGTGAGTAATCTCAGGTCCTCCACCTCGCAGAGGTCCACTCCTAGACCTCTGCTGTGGAGCACAGGGCTCCGTGGTAAGGGATCCCACACTTGGCCCCAGCCTGCTGGCCATCTGACACCTGGGCCTTCAAATATTAATGTGATACCTCCTACTCTGGGGGGTACAGCTTCAACAGCCCCCGACAGCCGGGACTGGGACAACCACGGCAGCTCCCTGTGCTTGGTCACCCAGCATTTGCTCCTGAGAACCTCCCAGGCTGAAGCAGGCAGATGTTCCAGGCCTGCAGCCCCACGTGTGGGCTCCCGGGCTTTGCAGATTCCCAGGATAAATGAGGTGCACAAGGGGGCGTATGGGGCTTCGTGCTGCTCTGTTTTCCCTGTGACCTGGTGAGCTGAGGGTCTTGGGTGGTGTGGGGCTGAAGGGCAGGGCAGATCCACCTGGCCCGTGGGTGAGGAGTGGCTTAAAGAGGCCGAGAGTTTATTTGTCTGGGCAGTGCAGGCCGCCACACCATGAGGTGTGGACAGAAGGGCACCTCTGCAGATGTGGGTAAAATTTGAAGGCAGGTAGAACAGAGCAGAAATCCAAGCTTCAGCAGGGGTCCCAGGTTCCTGACACAGATCCTGGCTGCGGGCCATATGTTCTGAATCAGGGCTGGTTCAAAGCCACAGCCCTTGTCCTGCTGGGGTGGGGGGGGGGGGGAGGGGAGGCAGATCTCACCAGCACCATCTTAGGGGCCTGTTGAGGAAGCTATGTTGGCTTCCTCTGTCCCCTGGAAGGGCTTAGGTGTGGCTGTGAGGTGGATGCTCAGGGGGGATACTGTGTGTGCCCTTTAGCTGCAGGCAGGAGCTGGGCATCTGCCTGCCAGCGGGGCATGGATGTAATGCCGGCCCACAGAGCTCAGGTGCCCACCATCGTAGAGACAAGGTCAAGAAGCCTTCCACATCAGCTCTCAGCCAAAAGGCACCAAGCCAAGCTTGGAGGGCTTGGAAGGACATGGGGGAGGCAGACCAGCACTCTGAGGGCCTCACATCTCTTTTCCCGAGCCAGAACCAGCAGGAACAAGAACCCCCAGCTTCTCTGGGTCAGATGCTACCGCTGAGATTGAGCAGGGCTGCGCTGGGCAGCACATTCAGGTCAATGGCTCATCCAGCGGTCAGTATCTGAGGACAATTGGCTACCCAACCTAAAGATGGAGGGGCTGTCTCTCCAGTTTTTGATGGTCCTGTTTTGGTGTGCCTTGGTCACTGAGTGCAGGTCCTAGCTTGCACCTCTGCATGAGGTCCTAGCCACTCCGCCCCACTTAGGGACTGAGAAGAATTTCAAGTATCCCATCTTGCCTCTCTGTCCACCCAGCATGTCTGTCCTCTCAGGGCCCGGGCAAGCCAACCAATGGTACAGTATTTTGGGGAAAGTTGGTCAGCTTGATTCTCCAAAGCCAGGCTCCCTGAGGCAGCAGACCAGCCTTGGACACAACTTAGGGGTCTTGCTCAGGCTCCCTGGGTGCTATGTGGCCTGAACTCAAGCACTGACGTCATCACTTGAAAAAGAGCTGATGGGTTTGCAGGGACACGCCACTGCCCTCCTCCTCCTTGCCAGTTCTCATGGAATCCCCTACCCCAAGTCATCCTTGGGCCCATGTCAAGGAGGGAGACAGATGAGTCTCAGGAATCAATCTCGGTCACAGGGAGGCATGTATGCCTACATGTATGTGGACATGCTCCCATCTGTGTGGGGCTGAGAGAGGTGAGCATGACTAACCCGGCCTCTAGCCCTGGAATAAGGCCAGTAAGTCCCCCTAGGGGACTCTGAGCTGGAAATGGGAGGATACAGACTGTTAGGAAACCCAGGCACCCAGCATGGTTGGGCAGGGAGACACAAGAGGAACAGGTCTTGCATACTTCTCTTCAGGCCGTCTCTGAGCTGCACATACCCCAGGAGGCTCTCCGTGCTTGCCCAGCAGAGCTGGGACAGTCCCAAGTCCAGACTCACCCGAATCTTCACTGACAGGCCTGTCTCCACCCAGGTGCCACCAGTCCTGATGACACCCCCACCCCCGCCATTTCCACCTCCTCCACTGTTGGCTGAAAGGCTCTCCATGGAAGATGGGAGAAGGGGGAACTCGGGACGCGGGAGTCCCCCGGGTGAGTGTGGGCCTCAGAAGAACTGATCTGGGCAAGGTGTGCAGGGCACCAGGACCCAATTGGGAGAAGCTTCTCAGAGGAGCTGAGCACATACGGTCACCCCCTCCCCAGAACTCCTCCCAGGCTTCCTTTGAAGTCTCTGAGGTTGACATTTTCTATCTCGGGTACCATGATCACAGTAACCTGAGCAGAAGTGAAAGCAGGTGGTCTCAGTGGGACTCAGGCCAGAGACCTCAGCATGGCAGTGAGCATCCTTGGGCATCAGGAGATGGGGAGGACCTGCCAACTGCAGGTCAGCGCCCTCAGAGGACTGTGATCAGCCCTTATCAAAATGACAGGGTGCTATGAAAATATCAACAGGTGTCAAATGCAGTGAGGCTACACGCTCACATGTAGGGGTTTGTGTGGGCAAGTGTGTCTGTGTTGTCTACGTGTCCGTGTCTGAGTGCATGTCTCTACATGAGTGTGCACATATGTATGTCTGTGTATGCCCTTGTATATCTGCCCGTGAGCGTCTAAGCATGTCTGTCTGTGTGTGCATGCATGTGCCCATCTGTTTCTCTGTGTGTGAGCATGTGTGTGTCTGTGTTTGTCTATCTGTGTGTGTGTCTCTATGAACATGTATGTGTCTCTGTCTGTGTGTGTCTATCTGTGTGTGTGTCTCTCTGTGAGCATGCATTTGTCTCTGTCTGTGTGTGTCTCTCTGTGAGCATGCATGTGTCTGTCTGTGTGTGTCTATTTGTGTGTGTGTGTGTGTGTCTGTGAGATGCATATGTCTCTGTCTGTGTGTGTCTACCTGTGAGTGAATGGTTCTGTGTGCCTTCTGGGGTATGACACAGGGGTTTCTTGCTCAGGGTCATGACACGGGGTACGTTTATAATGCATAGGGGACAGGGTAGTAAAAGGACAGATTTGGGGGTCTGACAGGGCTGGTCTAGGTCCCTGGACCTTCACATCTTGTGGACTCCTAGCTCTGCCCAGGCTGCTGAGAAGTTGGGAGGGGCTGTGGTAGACAGAATCAGGTAACATACATGCTTTCCAGGAGGCCAGGTTGGGGCAAGCCTTCTTAAGGCCTTTATGAGAATCCTCCTAGTGGTAAGCATTTTGCCTCTGACCCCAGGGGGATTTGGGGGGGCAGGACTGCAGGGTCTTGAGCTCCAAGCCTAGTAGTGTTCTTAGAAGGGCAGGGCTGTCCTGGGTCCAGGAGCTGCAGGCTTGGAATCTGCTCTCCCCTGCTCCTGCCCTGCGGAAGCCCCTCTGACTCCAGCTGATGTCTTCAGCAGCTGTGACTCTCAGCCCAGCCTGGCCTGGTCAGCCTGTCCCAAGGGAGCCAATGGCCTGTGCAGCCCCTCTGAGCGTCACCACCAGCATCCCAGCTGCCCTTAAGGTGAGTGTCTGCCCTTCACTCCCTATCTCTCTACCTCAAGGCGAACACACCCCCACGTTCTCTCCGTCCAGACAGCTCCGAACACCCCAAGTTTTGGAGAGATGAGAACCTTAGGGCAGCAGCAGCCAGGCCCTGTGACAAGGAACACAGAGCTGTTCTCTGTCCTCCCAGAGTCCTGACCTGTCAGCACAGGATTTTTGTTTGTTTGTTTTTTAAGCTCCATATAGCATGCCTTAGGTAACCTCATCTAGGTCGTGTAAGACCACGCCTGCTCCCTGCCGCCCCCCCCCCCCACCTCCAGGGAGGGAGGGGAGCATATCCTCATCCTCAGGGTCTCACTTTTATTAGGCTAGAAACTGGAGGGGTTTGGGGAATCTCAGGACATGTGACCTACTTGTCTCTCTAGGGGCCTGAGATGGAAGCCCGGGACTCCCATGATGGTCTGGCCACTCTGCAGCTGGACGGGCTGCCTTCAGGAGACCTTGACGTGCTGGTACCCACACAGGACGAGCGTGGCCGGCCCATCCCTGAGTGGAAGCGGCAGGTGATGGTTCGGAAGCTGCAGGCACGCCTGGGTGCAGACCACCTTCCAGAAGATCAGGTGGGGCAAGAGGAGGAAGGGGCGGAGCCAGAGGAGGAGCGCCAGGCCAAAGGGAGGGGCGGAGCCAGAGGAGGAGGAGGGCGCCGGCTCCAGGAAGAGGGTGGGGCACACCAGAGGGAAGTAGGGAGTTGAGCTGGGGATTAGGGAGTAGGGTGGGGGATAGAGTGGAGTGGGGTAGAGGTATGGTGTGGGATAGGGGAGTGGGAGGTGAAAGAGATGGGGGTGAGGAGGTTGGGACATGGCCACTGAGTAAGTTCCAAGCAGGAGTGGAAGGTGCCTGTGGGATGCTCCAGCCAGACCTGAAATCCAAAAACAGATGTCCTCCTCCTGATATGGTACCATCCCAGCTTCCTCTTCGGCCATACTGTGGTGCAACGTTGGATCACAGGGCTCCCAACAAGGCATTTATGGCTTCAGAGGGGGTAGTCCCCATGGGTTCTGTCACCTATTAGAAGGGGCCAGCCTTACCTTCCTAGCACTTAGATTGTTGCAGAGATACCAATGGGAAAGCCCAGTCAGTGAGGGTGGGGTGGGGGTAAACCCTCAGGGAAGAGCACAGCAGTGTGAAGTGGGGAGCTGTAGGGGGTGCTCAAGTGAGGCCCTTCTCTGGACAGGTGACCTTGAACTGGAGTTAGCAGGGAATGAGGAGGAGCCCTTGCATTCTAGGCAGAGGGGAAAACAGAATGCAAAGGTCCTGAGGTGTGGTGGGCAGGCACCTGGGTGGAACAGCAGAGAGTGGAGTGAGGGGGTGGTGTGAGGGGAGGGGGAGGCCTGAGGAGATTGCAGTCGCCTAGAAAGCATCTGTGAGTGAGCAGAGAAGGGGCTGTGATTTGGCCTGGACTTTCATAGGCTCCTGGATACCGACTGGACAAGCAGAAATAGAATCTCATCCTAAAGGTGTGTGGATTGCACTGTGTCCCGGATTAGAGCTGAACTGTCCGCACAGCCAGGAGGGACAACTGGGCGGAGGTTTAAAGTCAGTCAAAGCAGGAACCCTCCGCTGCACCAGTCAGATCTCTTCCAGCCACTGGGGCTAAGGATTCCCGCCTGCTGCAGCCTGTCTCCACCAAATGTGTCTACGTCCTGCCCATCTTCAGGGATCGGAGGACACAGCAGGGCAGTGGTGGGAGGGGCTGCAGCCAGGAAATCCCTTGGCATCCAAGGGTGGGATCAAGGTTCTGCAGAGACGGAGACAAGAGGCTCTGGGATATGGAGAAGGGTCGCTAAGGGGTTTGGGGTTATATCTTTCACAAGGCAGAGGCCTCTCTGCCGGCTTCCTGCAAACTAGACACTGTTTAGCACAATGGTGTCCATCCCGAGGCTTGTGAGAAGGCAGGCAGGGCTGCTCAGGGCTAAGTGGAGGGCCTGGGCATCTTGACAGCCAGCCCCAGGGGGTGTTAGGGGACCGCGGGGGAGCAGGCTGTTCTCCATCCACTCTGGGGTAATCTTCCCCTAGGCTCCCACTCTGGATTGGGCTGGCCAGACACTGGCTTCACTTTGTAAAGCCAAGGGAGGGCCAGCTGGTGTCCAAGGGCTAGGCTGTGGGGGAAGCAGGCAGAGCACTAATGAATGTGAGATGTGGGTGGCTTCTGACCCAGCCTTCCTGTGCCCAGGACCAGAGTCCGAGCCGAAACTCAGCCCCCACCCCGACAGAACAGGCGACTTGGAGGTATTCGCAGACACACCAGGCCATCCTGGGCCCTTTTGGGGAGCTGCTGACGGAAGATGACCTGGTCTACCTGGAGAAGCAGATCAACGACCTGCAGCTTCGGCGCCGCTGCCAAGAGTACGAGAGCGAGCTAGGCCGCCTGGCAGCGCAGCTGCAGGCCCTCCTGCCCGAGCCCCTGGTCAGCATCACTGTCAACAGCCGCTTTCTACCCCGGACTCCAGGCCTGGAAGACGAGGAAGCCAAGGTCCTGGCACCTGACCTCGAAGCCTCGGCGGAGCCCGGGAAGTCCGAGCCCAGCGGGCTGCCCTTCTGGTGCAGCCACATCGGTCGCCTGGTGCGCAGCATGTCCCTGCTGCTGAAGGGCATGAACGGGCTAGCGCAGGGAGAGGAGAAGCCGTCCGCCCCGGGCCGGCAGGACCCGGGCAAGGAGGCCGTGGCCGGCCCACCTCGAAGCGAGGCTCAGCGCGAGATCCAGGAGTGCGGGGTGTCGGTGCGGACGCTGCGGGGGAACTTCGAGTCTGCCCCGGATCTGCCCTGCGCCTCGAACTCCGGTCCCTGTGAGATGGGGGCGCGGCCCGGCCAGTGTCTACGAGGCTGCTGGTCGGCGCCGCCACAGCCCCGAGGCGACCCGATGGGTGGGGAGCCCCGGCCGGGCGACACGGAGGAGGCCAGCGATTCCGGCATCAGCTGCGAGGAGGCCCCATCAGAGGCTGGCGCGGGGCCGGGGCTGGACCTGGCTAGCCTGCGCAAGGAGCGCATCGTCATGCTGTTCCTCGGCCACTGGAAGAAGTCCGCCTACACGCCCGCGCTCAGGACGGCCGCCTGCAGGACCTTGGAGGCCCAGCGTGCTCGATCCAGGGGCGGCGCCGAGGCCAGCGGTAGCCCCCGGCCACCCTCCCCGCCGCCCAGCGACGGCCCCCGGCTCGGCCACCTGTGGCAGCAGCGCGGCATCATCACCCATCTGCTGGGGACCTGGAAGGCCATCATGGCACACGTGCCGGCCCGGCAGCTGCGGAGGCTGAGCCGCAGGGCGCGCGGGCCCCTGTCCCCCGAGCAGTTCTTGCCGCACGTCGATGGGGCCCCGGTGCCCTACAACAGCCTCTCGCTGGACCTCTTCATGCTCGGCTACTTCCAGCTCCTGGAATGCGACTTGCCGGCCGAGGAGCGCAAGATGCGCCACCTGCTCTGCTTCGAGGTCTTCGAGCACCTGGGTGCGCACGGCTGGGAGGCGGTGCGCGCCTTCCACAAGGCGGTGACGGATGAGGTGGCCGCGGGCCGCCGTGCCTGGACTGACGGCTTCGAGGACATCAAAGCCCGCTTCTTCGGCTCCAGCCAGGGTCCAGCCTGGGACATGGAGCCTGGCCGCAAGCTGGGCCTGACACCACTGGGGTCCTTGCCTCACGCTGCCCTCCCTGGCAGCGGCCCCGAACCTGCGGCTCCTAGGCTAGGGTCCGACTCCCAGAGGGGCAGCTTCAACAACGGGGACATCTGTGGCTACATCGACCGCAGCTTTGCCTTCTGGAAGGAAAAAGAAGCTGAAATGTTTAACTTTGGAGAATGACAGTTCTGGTGAATGGGACTGTCGGGGGAGGGGGGGGAGGACGGAAGTTGGGGTTCCTCTTTTTCATTTTCTGCGCACCCTGAGTGAGGGTCAGGTGAAGTGGGCGTGGTGTTGGCTGACTCCAGTCTGTCTTCACGGAGATCATACGTCTCTTAAGCCATGGGTGTCCATCTCTTCTGAGCAGTGACTTCTGGTCAAAGTCCTTGTCATTTGTGAGCACAGGCTTCAGGCCCCCAGGTGATCATGTGGGTCCCATGGCCCTGCAGCCAAGGAGCTGGCATCCCAGCACAATGGCCCCCCTGCCGGTCTTGTTTCCAGCAGTCTCCTGGATGTCCCATGCCTGTTACCGTAGTGCTGGTGGTCCCAGTCACAACAACAGCCTCTATAATCCTCCCTCTGGGCCTCAGCCCTGGGCCTGCCTCTGTTTTTGCCTTTTTTTTAAAAAAATGGCAACCCCCATCTGTAAAACGGGAGGGGAGCTGTGTCTAGAGTGAACAGTATCCCTGGCAGGAGGGAGGAGGGCAGGAGGGCTTATGGAGGAGACCCCAAAGCCCCAAGGCAGACAAGTGGCCTTGCCCTGATTCTCCTGCTGGTCAGTCATGGCTGCTGGTGCTGCCTGATCCCTGAGGGAAGGCTCCCCTTAGGCCTTTGTCTTCCAGCTGACCAGCCCCTCCCAGACCCACAGCTAGAGGCAGTGGCAGGGCCACTTAGGGCCACAGGAGGGCCCTAAGAGCAGGGACACCAAGAATATCCACCAAGAGGTGAGGAGTCCTCTGAGCAGAAAGGTTGGCACCCTCTGAAGGTAAACTGAGTTTCTGGGAATAGCATACAGCAAGGGTGGGACATACCAGGGGTGTTCATGTGGACATTTGGGTGTCTCCCACATAATAGCCCTTCCCACTCAGATACAGAGGAAGGAGCGAAACACCCTTGGGGATTCCAGGTACTGCAGAGAGCCACAGCAGCCAGGTGCTGGAGAGGGCGCCTCCAGACCATTGACTGTAAGAATGGTTTGTCTTCAGCTTCTGGTGACATGAAGAAGGATGAGCCACCACCCAGCTCGTGAGGCCCAGGAGAACTGGGCTGGAACCCATGGGGACTTTGGGATAGGAGTTTTGGGAGGAGACTACAGTAGGCCATGGGAAGGGGATCTGCTGCCAAGCCCTGCAAACAAAGACATGCACAATGAGGACAAGAGTCTCCTGCAGTGTCCCCACATTACCACTGGGGGGAGCTGGGAGCCCTAACCTTTGGGTTGTTGGGGGGAGCAGAGCCTGTGCAGACTCAAGACTAGGCAGGGGTCCCACAGAAAGGGACCTCCAGGGAGATAACATTGGCATGGGTGATGGGCGTTGGTGCTGGAAGAACCGCAAAGGCCAGTAGCACAGATCCTGGCTACAAGTTGCCTCCAGCCCTGGCCTACCCTGGGACCTACTCTGGGATGACTGGGTGAACCCCGCTACGCAGCCCTTGGCTTCCTCTGCTTCTAGAGCCTCACAGGGAGCTGAAGCTGGACGTGTGTTTGCTAAATAAAGTTCCTGTTCCTGGCTGGTACACACTTGTTCATCACTCCAGCCCCCGGCAAAGCTGCCTGTGTCCACAGAGCCTGGCCACTGAGTGGGCACTCAAACCCCAGCTCGCTCACTGCAGGGGCAGCATCAGGGCAAGATGTCAACCCCAAGAGGATCCAGACTCCTCCCTACATCATAGGATCAGGGATGTGGTGCTGATGCTGGCTTGCCCATCCCAGGTCCTGGTGGGGTTGAAGGGCAGTGGGTGAGGGATTTTGCCCAGAGATTCCCCATAAACTCAGATGCTCACTAGCCTGTGGTACTTCCACAAGTAGACACTAGGGGGCGTGGCGCCTGTACGGTAGTTACTGTCATTTCTTTTAGAGGGCAACAGTGAAGGAGGCTGGTTTGTGGGTTGGGAGGACATCAGCCTTGCGTCTCCTAGTCAAGAAGTGGGCACACCCAGTCCCCACAGCCTTTGAACCTTAGTTTCTCAGCTAAAAGGCCAGACTCAGACTCTCAGGGACACACAAGAAGACCCGAGGGACCTGGGGCTAGATGGGATGCCAGGCATGGGAGGCAGTGGGGACTCAAACCTAGGCTTGTAGCCCAAATGGAAGGCAACTTCTTCTGCAGACACATCGCTCCTACAGGAAGATACCTAGAGATTCTGTTTCTCTGGCCTGGGTGAGGATAGGTAGCTGGTTTTCAAAGACATTCTGGATAGTTCTAATGACCTATCCAGAAGGCTAGGAGACCCGGGCCCTCTAACAGCTCACCTGTGGGGAGCAGATGCCCACATAGGCAGAGGTTGGCCCCTCAAGGCCACACTCACAGTTGGACACATAAGTCTGTTGTCCTGCTGGCAAAACCCCACTGAGGACCCACAATCCCTTCATATACGCCCTGGAGATTGAGGCCACAGAACAAGGCTTTCAGGGGAGTCGGGACTCTTGTTAGTTTGTAAATGTGTGCAGAATGAATATACAGAAACAGAAACCATGCCAAGGTGAATAAAGGAATGGTACCCTCCTTGATGACCAGTGCAAGCATAGTAAGATGTCAGTTCTCCAGATCAATGAGGGCTTAATGCAAAGCTGAACTTTTTTTTTTTTTTGAGACAGGGTTTCTTTGTGTAACAGTTCTGGCTGTCCTGGAACTCACTTTGTAGACCAGGCTGGCCTTGAACTCACTGAGATCTGCCTGCCTCTGCCTTCTGAGTGCTGGGATTAAAGGCGTGCACCACCACCACCACCACCACCACCCAGCACAAAGTTGAGCTTTTAAAAAACAACTGCAAAGTTCATTTCAAAGAAACAGAGAAAAAGTCTTGCACATAAGCTCATGTGTTTGAACTCTTGGTCCCCAGTTGGTGGTCCTGTTTTGGTAAAATGTGGAACCATTGGAGGTAGACCCTCATGGCCACAGGAACATTCATCCACACACCAGCAAAAGCAGGTGTGCCTCCTCCAGGCCTGGTCCCTCTGGTGTGAGCCGAACCTTTTAAAGATTTTAGTGGCACACTTCTGTTTGGTGAATTCACACTGGGAGTCTATTCCGGGGAAGTAAGTGCACAGCTGATACTCTTCATCATAGTGTCCAAAACGGAAAATGAGCCGAAAGCCCATGAACAGGAGCTGTGCCTGGTGTCACATTCAGCCTTGGGAAGAAGGCATCTTCCTGTCAAGATGACACTTAAAGTCATATTTTCAAACCAGTCTCCTCAAAACTCATGATTCAGCATCAGGTGATCAAGGCAGTGACATGCACTTATCCAGCCAGCCACCCAGCCACCCAGCCATGTGTACATGTCCAGACTCAGAGTTGACAGTCTCGGGGAGGGGTACTGTCATTTACTATTGGAGAGTTCTGTTATATATCTTTATATTTTTCAAAAACGTGTGTGATTTTTATCATCATGGGCTTACTTTGAAGTTCCAGCTCTTGGAAGCAACCTGTCATCTTGAGTGCCTGGTCTCTCATCCAATAATACACTGGGCCTCTAATGTCCCCACGGTCTGCTGGGTTACAGTCCCTGTCCTTCATTCCCCCCAGACAGCAGAAGCACCAGCCCTGCAAACGGGGCAGTAAGCAAAGCCTTCACCTTGCCCCTTGCCTGGGAAGCTTGGCTCTCACCCTTCCTCTGGTCCCGGGCCCAACCTGATCTTGGCTGACATAAGCGTCCTAGAGTCTGTCTGTGAAGTGTGTCCCCATGAACCAAGCACTTCATGGAAGGTTGCAAACCTTGGCCGCTTTCTTTTTGGATGACCCCCGTTTCTCAGCTTCCTGAAGCATTCAGGATGGAGGGAAACACCGGGGCAGCCCAAGGCCAAGGCTTTGTTTCTTGTGTGGGGACAAGCCCAGTCTCTCCCACCCATGCACTCAGGTGTCAGGGAGTCTCATCACTACCCATCACTACCCTGAGCACTACCTTTGCTGCTGAAGCCTCCCCCTCCAACACTGTGGACCTCAAGCTTATCCAGCCTGTGCTTACTCATGATGTGACCGTCCCACCCCACAGAGGGACTGTGGCTACCTGAGTCCCCATCAGCACAGTGGCGAAGCAGTACCCGAAGATTCTTAGTGTCGGCCCTGAGCAGTTTTCTCCCACAGGACCCAGCACAGGTTCCTGCTGTCTCCATCCTGCTGTGTCTCCATGGCACATTCTCAGCTCCCCCAGCTCAGCCTGACTGCCTGGGATATGAATCAAAACACCTGCTTGCCCAAGAAGCTCCCCACTGTCCATTCTAGTACTCTGGGTACCCAGAAGTCTCCTGTGTGACTTTAGACAATGTGGGCTTTCAAAGGAGACAGTCTTCGAAGAGCTGGGACCTCACTCCCTCCCCCTCCACTCTCCCCTCCCTCCCATACAGAGTCTAAAAATACCCCTAAGTTCCCACGTGGCCTGCCCAGCCCAGCCCAGCCCAGTCCAGCCCAGCAGGCCTCCTTTGTGGCCCACACTTCAGCCTAAGTCTTGCCCTTTGGTCTATGGTCTCAGCAAGGGGCCCTAAGGAGGCCTACTAACAGGTAAGATCAAGGGATCTACAAGGAGGTGAGTGCCAGCTAGACTTAACGGAGTCCTCTACAGGCAAGGGGCTCCTGGGGGCCATGTGGGTTCAGAGAGGGGAGCTGGGCCCGAGGAATGCAGTCACATTAGCCAGGTTGAAGCCAATGCCATCCTGCTAAGACTCTAAAGACCCATGAGCACCCTGCTAAGACCCTAAACTCCCCCTTCGCCCTCCGGCCTCTGTGGAACTGCAGCAGCAGGGGTCAGCAGGTATCTCTGAGGCCCCTTGGAGAGGCGCTGAGCGCACAGGCCTGGTTGTACCACTGCAGCTACAGTCCATAGCCAAAGAGCCCAGCAATGATTGGAATGCAAGGACTGTGGGCGCTGACTTGGGCACAGCCCTTCCTACACGGGCCTCAGCTAACACATCGTAATCCCAGTCAGAGGCCTCCCCAAGAGGTGAGACAGGAGAGATTCTTGGTGGGTATGAGGGCCTTGGAGTCAACAGTTTCCTGAGCTTCCCTTTGCGGGCCTGAGCCAAGGTTGTCCCTTGAAAATCCTCCTGATAGGTCCTCAGGTAGGTCCCTGTGCGTAGGAAGGAGATTGCATCAGGGATTGGGGCATGGGCTTCAAGTTCCCACCCACCCCAGCCCCAGGCCTGGGTTTGCCAGCTCCCTGGCTAGGACTTGTCCTTTGATTTCCTTATTTTCCAGGTGTCCACCAGACTTGCTAATCTTCCAGCACTATGGTGGCTGTGTGTGGTAACACCCCCCGCCCCCCAGGGCAATATACTACCATTATGTAGCTTTTAGCTGTGAGGGACTCAGGATGGGTACCTCCATATAGATCCTCCCCTCTTTCCTTTGCCCCCCTTTCTCCTCCCTCACTCCCTTTTCTCCCTCCCCCCCACCCCCACTTCTCTTCTTTCTAAAAGAATTTTTTGGCAAGGTCTCACTATGTAACCCAAGCAGGCCTTGAACTTGCTGGTAACCCTTGGGCCTCAGCTTTCTGAGTGTTGGGATCACAGGTGTGCCCCCCTGTGACCAGTGACTGTTTCTCTGGTGCTTTCCTTAGGGCAAAATACCAGACACGCATGTAGTTAAGTCTAGAAGTGGGTCTACTGACAGGCCATGCGCACAACGCGATAGGAAAGCTGCTGTAGTTAAAACTGAGTTCCCGGTTGCGAGCCTGACCCTGAATTCAATTGCTGGCTCCCCTACTTCCTAGCTCTGTGGTCTTGGGTAGATGACTCAAATCCTCTGCGTCAGTTTCTCTGGAAAATAACAGCACTTACCTGGCAGCGTGATCACGGGGCCACAGGAAGTGGCTGGGAAGTGGCTATGCATAGGAACTGCCTGGGACAGTGACTACAAGTCTCTTCACCTTTAGTCTCTCCATCCCAAGCTGAGGAAACGGAACCAGCAACGGTGTGGCTCAACCAAGTCACCCAGCAAGGTCATGCAGACAGGCCGTGAAAACCAGTAGTGCAGAGCAAAACCCAAAAACACCTCCAGTGGCCTGCCCAGCAACGTGGGGCCTGAGAGAGGAAGCCTCTTGGGTGCTTGGAGCAGGGAGGTTCCCTAACCCTGGAGGTCTATGCTGTGGAAGACAGGAGGCCCCGGGCTTGTGTTCTCTACATGATCCAACATTACCCTAACTAGTTGGCCATAAGCAGTAGATCTAGCCCTCAGTTTCCTCTCTATAAAGTAGAAGCAACCGTTGCCTTGCCCACAGGGCTGAGAACCTGGGATAGAGCAGGATATGGGATGCCCAAAGTGGCCCCCACACTGGCAACATGCAGTAGGTGGGTGCTTGCCAGGGGTGGGGACGGTGGATGCCCAGACAGTCATACACTGAATCACAGGTGGATGAGGCCGTAGCTCTCATGGCTGACCCTGTTTTCCTACTCAGGTGCTCAGGCGAGCCCCGGGTACTACTTCCGGGAAAGAGGGTGGACCAGAAGGGTCTCTTGTGGGCAAAGCATCATGGTGAGGAATCTAGACAACCTGGACTTCCATCTGCCTTCACATGCCCAAGACATGCTGGATGGCCTGCAGCGTCTGCGCTCCCTGCCCAAGCTGGCCGATGTCACCCTGCTGGTTGGTGACCAGGAGCTGCCCTGTCACCGCAGCCTTCTGGCTCTGAGTAGCCCCTATTTCCACGCCATGTTTGCCGGAGACTTTGCTGAGAGCTTTTCGGCCCGTGTGGAGCTGCGAGATGTAGAGCCGGCTGCGGTGGGTCAGCTGGTGGACTTTGTGTACACTGGCCGCCTGACCATCACTCAGACTAACGTGGAGGCGCTCACCCGCACTGCATCGCGCCTCCACTTCCCCACTGTGCAGAAGGTCTGTGGCCGATACCTCCAGCAGCAGGTAGATGCCACCAACTGCTTGGGCATCTGCGAGTTTGGGGAGCAGCAGGGACTGTTAGGCGTGGCTGCCAAAGCCTGGGCCTTCCTGCGGGAGAACTTTGAGGCAGTGGCCCAAGAGGATGAGTTCTTGCAGCTGCCTAGAGACCGACTGGCCACCTGTCTGGCCAGTGACCTGCTGCAGGTGCAACCGGAGCAGAGTCGGCTCGAAGCCCTGCTGCGCTGGGTGCGCCATGACCCCCAGGACCGGTCTGCCCACCTGCCCGAGCTCCTCAGCCTGGTGCACCTGGATGCGGTGCCAAGGCCCTGTGTGCAACAGTTGCTGGCCACAGAGCCGCTGATCCAGGAGTCAGAGGCATGCCAGGAGGCCCTGTCCCAGGGCCACAGTGGGGTGAGTGAGGGGCAGGGGACTTCCACCTAAGGCGTGGAGGAGGATCCCCAGAGTTCCCACCCGCAGGGGAAGAAAAGAGTGGGCACCCTCAAAGTGCCCGATCAAGTATGGCTCCCTGCTGCAGGCTGGTCCCCTGAGAGAGCATCATCACTGACCTTTCAAGTGTGCCATGCTCTGAAGACCAGGGGATGAACCTAGAAGTGTCTCTGTCTTTAAGAAGCCTACCGCTGAGTGAGGATGAGTCTGAATACAGAGTTAAAGCGTAGTGGAAAGGCCAGGCTGGGAGAGTGCTAGGGGCATCTTGGCGAGGGTTGGCAGTCAAGAAGGACTCCCTGGAGGAGACAACATTGGAGCCGGACCTGAGAGGAGGCATAGGAGTGGGACGGGAGGAAGATTTGGGCAAAGCATCCAGGACAGTGGTACAGCTGCACTGTGGGACCTGGAAACCGTCACCAGGGGCTCCTGGGAGGGCTCCAACTGCACCTGTGTGGAGTTCCAGCCCTGTTCATGCTGGCAGCGGCAGGTCCTGACAAGTGACAGGCCTCGCTGTGGCTGTCCCAAGGGTAATCACCCCAAGGGTAATCACCCCAAGGGTAATCACCCCAAGGGTAATCCGCAGCACCTGGGAAAGCCCTTTGTGACCAGTGAGAGACACAGCTCTTCACGGTGTGAGGGTGTGCACGGGGCACGGGTGTTCATGGGGTGGTGGCATTCACAGGGTGGGGGTGTGCACCACCATGTCCAGCCCATGCACACATGCATGCACGGGTGCTCACAGATGCATACACACATGCATGTGTGCACACATTGCCAGGGCCCACCTAACCTCAAGCACAGGCACAGCACCCATGGACCCCTGTGCTGGGCAGACAGTGACTGGCCACTCTGACCTGGCTCCCCCCCACAGGAGCTTCCTGGCCTCCCACAGACGATGCAGGAGGTGCTGGTGGTCGTGGGAGGGCGGGCGCTGGAGGAAGACGAGGAGGGTGGTGAAGAGCCCAGCCCCCACACTGGGAACTTTGCCTTCTACAACACCAAGGCCAGTAAGTACCTGCCATGCTTGTCCTGGGCATGAGCCGTGCACCACCTTGGGGTAGAGCCAGTGAGGTGTCCAGAGAATGGGGGACCTGCCCAAGCTCTGCTTCCAGAAGGTTGAGTGTCAGGGCTGTTCCAGGCTTGCAGAGGAGCCTGGTGGCTATGGGCAGGAGGTGGCAGAGAAGAACTGGATACTTCCAGTCCATTCTCACTCTGGTAGAAGCCTTACCTCTGGTTTTTATTAGGCCATGGTGGCTGGGATTAAAGGCCCCACAGCCTAAACAGTGCTACTCAGGGGGGATGTGCCAGCCCATCAATTGCTCTAGGCTCCCCTGTCCTGAGCACCCGGTGTGGGAACCAAGGCTCTGGGGGGGTAGGATGGGAGCTAAGAGGGTGCAGCCAGCCCAAGAGTTAAAGTTCAGATTCTGGGTCAGCCCAAACTGGGATCCAATCTGACCCTAGAACAGCTCATTTTACCTCCCTGGATGTGTCTTGATTTTTCTCATCTGTGAAATGGGTTCCCAGTGTCTTCTCCTATAGTTGTAAAAAAAGAGTCTTGGGAGAGAGTAGTAGGGCACCCCACAGGCTGTCTGCCCAGGAGAGCTCTTGGGAAAGTGCTGATGTGGGCTCGTTGGCTCCAGGACTGAGGCAGGTTGCCAGTGCCCACTGCATCAGCTCTGGCGGGCTGGAGGAAGTCCACAGCCAGCCGCCCAGGTCAGAGGCTGACGAGTGGGGATTTGGGGTTGACGTCAGGAGACAGCAGCTGGCTGGCAGCAACGGTCTGCGATTGCTGGGCCATCCTCACCCTGGGGTGACACAGACATGAATCAGGGGACACTCCGTTCCTGTCCAGGGTGCCAGGCTCGGCTCACCATGAGTTCTAGAATTCTACATGTTCCCAAACTGTCATAAACAGTCAACAGTATTCCAGGGGACTTCCCCAAGGCCTGGTCTCCCACAAACACTTGCAACAAGCCCATTCATAGGATTCGACTTTCCCACGCCTATGATCTCATTCATGATGGCGTCTTTCAAAGCACTCCTCATCACTTTGTCCCTCACAACAGGGACAACAGCCTGTCAACCTCCACTGGTGGCCACTTCCCATGTGTCTCACATCTCATACATCTTTTTAAATTTATTTATTTATTTATTTATGTATTTGTGTGCGTGTGTGTGTGTGTGTGTGTGCGTGTGTGTGTGCGTGCGTGCGTGCGTGTGTGTGTGTGTGTGTGTGTGCATGTGTGTGTGTGTGTGTCCTCCCTCATGTGAGCACCACGGTTAAGAGGTGGAAACAGCTTGTGGGAGTTAGTTACCTCCTTCCGTCTTGTGGCATCTAGGGATCAAATTCAAATCATCAATCTTGATGACAAGAGCCTTCACTGGCTGAGCCATCTCTCAGGCCCAGTTCACCCCCATTCTATAGACAGGGAAGCTGAGGCTGGGCCTAGTCTAAGCTCACATAACTGGTGCATGCAAGCTGGGGTTTGGACTTCACTCTGCCTGCTGCAAGACTGGTATCTCATTCTCTGCTTATCTTGTCTGCTTCATAAATGGAGAGTGGCTTGGGATGGATGGATAAATCGATGAGTAAATGAATGAGTGATGCCCACACACAGCTGATACCCTCTATGACTGAGGTAGACTAGGTCCATTTAGAAGGGTCAGCTTCAGCCCCGGGTGCCAACAGGGGGCAGATCTTGGGCTGTCTTTTATACCCTTGTGCCATACTTGTCCAGTCTGGGCCCAGGCTCTAAGGGGTGCTGTGGGGAATGTGATGAGCTGGGACACCCCAGGCTCTCTCTGACCCCATTTTCTTCATCACTAGTGTGTGTGGTGGGGGGGGCGTTTCTGAAGTCAGTTCCTAAAAAGGGAACCAGGGCAGGTGCAGGTGCAGTGGCAGTGGCGGCGGAGGCGGCAGGGGAGCGGGGGTGGGGTGGGGTGGGGTGGAGGTGGGGGAGCGGGGGGTGGGGGAGCGGGGGTGGGGGAGCGGCGGCGGTGGCGGTGGTGGGGGAGCAGGGGTGGGGTGGGGGAGTGGGTGGGGGTGGGGGAGGGTGCGGCCAGAGGGCCTGCAGGAGCACTACCACTCTGACCCTCTGTCTGTCTCCCCACCAGGGCAGTGGATGGCACTCCCGGACTTCCCCGATTACCACAAGTGGGGCTTCTCTCTGGCAGCACTCAACAGTGATGTCTATGTCACAGGTGGGTGACTCAGAGCTCCTCGGGACACCCTGAACAACTTGGCACGGCACCGGCCTCTGAAACCAACTCTCCTACCCAACAGGACCCTGGAAGGTGAAGACCTTCCAGACCTTTCTATACATCTGGAAGTGGGGAATTTCCAGAGGTAGAGATGAGGAGGACCAGAAACTCAAGGTCATCCTTGGCTATACAGCAAGCTTGAGGCCAGCCTAACCCAAACAAGCAAAACCCAAAATGATTTTAAAGCAAATGAATAAAAATGCAGAGTCCACCGGGCGGTGGTGGCGCACGCCTTTAATCCCAGCACTCGGGAGGCAGAGCCAGGCGGATCTCTGTGAGTTCGAGGCCAGCCTGGACTACCAAGTGAGTTCCAGGAAAGGCGCAAAGCTACACAGAGAAACCCTGTCTCGAAAAACCAAAAAAAAAAAAAATTCAGAGTCCACTGACAGGTGCTAGGAGACATCACTGGGTATACTGAACCTCTCTCTCTCTGGCAGGTGGCTCACGGGGCACCAAAACAGACACCTGGTCGACCACCCAAGCCTGGTGCTTCCCGCTGAAGGAAGCTGTCTGGAAGCCCGTGGCGCCCATGCTGAAGGCCCGCACAAACCACGCCAGCACAGCACTGAATGGAGAGATCTACGCCATCGGTGGTGAGGCCTCCCTCCCCATCACCATGCCTCTCATTCCTAGAGCCCCAGGTCCCCACCCCACACCTCTCCGGGGATGCTGCTGGGGAGAGCTCTCCGCCTTCTGGGGTCAGTGAGCCCCATGCAGACAGTCCTCAGAACCCCTGTCTGGGGCATCTTGGGTACCCAGGAACCAGCCAGCCCCTGTTTTCCTATCCTGGAGGACTCAGCGCCCCAGGGCCAGCAGGATGATCACACACACCCCGGAAACAGGGACTCAGACCTCAGCTGGGTCACTGGGAAGTGAATGACTCCCAGTGACCTCCGTGTCATATCAGCCTGACACAGGGACCACCTCATCACCCAGACCCCCCAGTGCCATAGCAAAGAGTTTCTCTGTGGAGTATACTGCTCAGATGAATATTAAAATAAGACCCAGAGGTGGCCCCAAAGAGCCACAGGCAGCAGTCTGACCCTGAAGCCATTTCTAATGCCTAACTGACCCCCCAGGGGCTCCCCTTTTTCTAATAATTGCTGTGTTCTTGGCTGGAAAGCAAAGAGGGTACGTAGGCCCTGAGTCCCAGGCGCCTTGGGGGTTCCCAGATTCTCACAGAGGCTTAGACTAGGAGGCATGTATCCCATACTAAGTTATTGCAATTAGCACATCCACCCCACTGGGGGCTACGACCACAGTCGTATGCCTTACAACCTGCTCTCCCAGGACTTGCCCTAGGGACCAGTACCCACCATCCCACCCACATACCACTTCCTGGTGTGGTCTTGGGAAGGCCCTGCCTAGGAAGGGGACCCAGCTCAGTACCTCCCTCAGGACATACCTCCTTCATCCATCTTCCCTTTCTGGGCCTCTGGAGCCATCCCTGACACCTTTAAAAATCCAGACCCCACGTTTTCAGGACTGTCTCCTATTCCTAGACCCCACTGCCCAGCTCCTACCCAGCTAAGGACATCCTTCCGTAGGCACTGCCCTGGATGCCGTAGAGGTGGAGCGTTATGACCCCTACACAGACAGCTGGAGTCCTGTCAGCCCGGCCCTCAAGTATGTCAGCAACTTCTCGGCCGCTAGCTGCCAGGGCCGTCTCTACCTGGTGGGCTCCAGTGCCTGCAAGTACAACATGCTGGCTCTTCAGTGCTACAGCCCTGTGACAGGTGGGTGGGCCTCCCTGATGGCCTGTGTTCCCAAGGTGACGGGGTCCCGATGGGGCGTATGGTTTCTGGACCTGGCGTGTGTGGAAGTATGGGTTGGATAGATGCAGAGGCCCAGGGACTCCCAGAAGCCTGTGGGAATGAGGTGGGAGGGTGACCAGGTCAAAGCCCCTCCTGCCCCTACCCGCCACATGGCCCAGTGAGAGGCAGATAAGGCAGAGGCGTTACAGTACACTGCTCCAGGCTTATTCCATTGGCAGTGAGTGTGCTGGGGCTCTGGAGGCCTCAGAGTGGAGTCCTTCATGACCTCCCCAGTGAGGAACTGCCCCCTCCTCCTGGTGAAGTTACCCATTCATGTGCCCTGCAGACGCATGGAGTGTGATCGCCTCACCCTTCCTGCCCAAGTACCTGTCCTCTCCACGCTGCGCTGCTCTGAACGGCGCCCTCTATCTCATTGGCGACAACACGAAGAAGGTCTATGTGTATGACCCGGGGGCCAACCTGTGGCAGAAGGTGAGTCTCCCCATGCCTCCCCCTGCCCGCCCCCTGGCGCAGCCTTGCTGGACTCCTGGCACCCTAAAGATAGAACAGAGATAAACACACAGAACGGAGGTGTGGAGGAGTGTCTGAGAGGCCAACAGAGAAGCTGGGCAGGCCTCCAGGCTCTCTCTAGAAGACAGGGCGGCCACAGTGCCAGGGATGACGGGGACACAATGGCTGCTGGTCATTGTCAGGTTTCTTTCTCTGGAGTTCTCGTCTCCCTTCTCAGGGACTGAATCCATGTTCAGGGATGAGTGCCTCTGGGGCAGCCATGGATAGAAAGGAAGAATTATTTGTTAGCTATGGGGTGGTGCGCTTCCTTCCTGTGGGATATTAAGCCAAGCAGGTGGATCCTGAGCAAAGAGTGTGAGGAGAGCCATCTCCCCAGTACCATCTCATCTTGCCTCTCTTCTTCAGCCACCAGGCCCAGGAAGGGGTGGGAGGTGGGCGAGTCCAGGCACCATCATGAGAGCCCAGAGCCCTGGCCTTTCTCCTCAGTCCCAGGCTGGATGCTCTGGGCTAGTCCACCTACCTCTCCATTCTCAGTCCCAGGAGCCTGATGAAATGATGCCTCCCTCCAGCCCCCAGTCAGTCTGGTGACAGGGGGCCCACTGTGTCCTGCTGCTCACAGCTGCCCTCTAGCTTCAGCGTTCCACTGACTGGAGGTCCCATGACCGTAGTGAAGCAGGCACAGAGCAAGTCCTGTCAGGGGGCTGCTCCCCTGAGCCACAGCACGACTGGGCTCCCAGTAGCATGAGCTCTATTTTGACCTTGTTGGGCCTGTAGGCAGAGGCAACCCAGGCCTTTTCTGGCGCATCTGTCCTCTCCAAGAGGGCGACATGGGGCCAAGGCTCAACCTAGACCCAGCTCTGGGCTCAGACCTCAGCACTCGACTTGGATCCTGGGACTCCAGAGCCTGAAGGAGCTGTCCTGTTTAGATGCAGGTTGGAGAGAGACCAGGGCCTCCCTGGTAAGACGTCTGATATAACCACAGCAGGCAGTGGATGAGCTCTGGGATTCAGGGTCAGGTAGCTGTCTCCAGCCCCACCAAGGACATCCTTGTGTCCACTCTCCGGGGGGTCACCGGCCCCTGACAGCTGCCATCCACAGGTGCAGTCTCAGCACAGCCTACACGAGAACGGCGCACTGGTGTCTCTGGGTGACGCGCTGTACGTGACAGGTGGCCGCTGGCAGGGCATGGATGGCGACTACCACGTGGAGATGGAGGCCTATGACACTGTGAGGGATGCCTGGGCCCGCCACGGCTCCCTACCCCGTCTCTGGCTCTACCATGGGGCCTCTACCATCTTTCTGGACGTCTCAAAGTGGACACAGCCCTTCAGCCCAAGTGCCGCTCAGGAACAGTAGGAAGGAAGGAGTTCCTGGGTCAGCTCCTCATGGCCCTACAGAATGGCTCCTTTCACGCTTGTCTTCTGTTACTGTGAGCTGCTGCCCACTCCAGGGCTTAGACTGGCCTCAATATCAGATGTCACCGCTGAGGACGCAGCTCTAGTCTCTGGTGCTACCAAACTTTGTGACCAGTGGTAAAAGTGAGACCCTGGTACCCACGTGGTGGGGAAGAGAGAGCTCTGCTGTCCCTGTAGACCTCAGAGAAGGAAGCTGAGGGGTCCTGGACTGCACCCGCCAAGGAAACAGGCTCCGTGCTGTCAGCTCTTCTTGCTCTACCCAACCATGGTTTTGGTGGAAGCATCAAAAATGAGGGGTTAAGTGGGGGTACCCAGAACACTGAGCCAGGACCTCAAGCTTGGGTGCCCACCACAGCTCTTTGACTATATCCACGGCTTCTCTCTCCCCTCTTTCCTCAGATTCCACATCCACCCCCCCCCCCTCCCCGTGGGATGGCTGGATGAGGGCCAGGCTCTCCGTCCTTAGCCTCTGCATGTTGGTACTGTGTTTACAGATCTGCTTCTGGGAGGAAGGTGGCCCCTGCCCCACCATGGGGACCTCTGACACCAGGAAGGCAGCCCCTGAGGAGACACTAGGAAGGCAGGGGATGTGGTGCAGGGCAGGAGAGTGAGGCAGTGGAGGATCCCCTTGGAGAGTGGCTCTCAACCTTCCTTCCCTTTAATACAGTTCCTCGTGTGTGGTGAACCCCAACCATAGAATTATTTCATGGCTACTTCATAACTGTAATTTTGCTAGTTTTGAAACATAATGTAAATATCTGATACGTGACCCCTCACCCTGGTCTGCAGGGACTTCTGGGGATGGCCCCTGGGTGTGTCAGAAGCTTGCTTCCAGTTGTCTGCTGGGATAGGGTGGGGCTAAAACCTGATGGGCTCTACTGTCTGTCGTGATATGATTTGGAGTGATTCAGACCTTAGTCTCTCTGAGGTTGTGTATGGCTCAGTCTCCACATGTTTTCTGTGTGTCTCTTTCCTGCCCTCCCTCCCTCCCTCCCTCCCTCCCTCCATCCATCCATCCCATCTTTACTTCCTCTGATCCTTCTCCTCCTTCCTCTCCTCCAGAACAAGGCATTGGATTTGTAACCAAACAATAAAGGACTCTCACTGTGAGTGGCGGCGTGATCTGTCTGTCACAGACTGGTGAGGACCTAGACTGCAGGTTAGGAATTGGTCAGGCCAACATCAGCTACTAGCCCCCTGAAGCCTTGAGTGGCCTCCAGCTCCCACTGCATATGGACTTCTTCTCCAGGACCAGCCCAGAGGATCAGAGTGTCTCCTGACACCCCTGGGTTCTGAGGACAGGACTCAATGCCATCCTGCTTTTGCAAGTCAGGGTTCACTTTGCTCCTAGACCTGACTCAGAGATAAAATAAGGCAGGGGGTACAGGACAGAAGCCAGACTTGGGTTCTGAGTGCTCCCAGGGTATGGTGGCTTGAATAAGAATGGCCCCCATAGGTGACTTGAATACTTAGTCACCAGGGAGTGGAACTGTTTGAAAGGATTAGAAGGATTAGGAGGTGTGACCTTATTAGAAGAAGTGTGTTGGGGGTGAGGGGTGGGAGGTGGGGGGTAGCTTTCAGGTTTCAAAAGCCCATGCCAGGTCCAGTCTCTCTCCACCTGCAGATCAGGATGTAGCTCTCATCCTATGGTTGATGGATTTGGTGAAGACAGCATGAGGTCTCTGCCCCACAGTGTTTCCTAAGCATGCCATCCCAGGGCTGTTCAAAGGTGAAGGCTGAAAGAGTGAAGCTGACCTCAACCAGAAACGGGGAGTTGGAAGGCCATGCATCCCTGGGCGAGTGTGAGTGGGGGAGGTCCTGGAGCAGGGACACATGCTGTCCAGGGAAGGCATGGTCCTCAGCTTTGTTGAATTGTGCCTCATCTGGCCTGTCTGGATCAGTGGCATGCTCAGTGTTCCAAGAGGAAAGGTCTTCCAGCTAGGGAGTTGAGATCTAAGAAAAGGGGGGGGGGGGTGGGCGTCTCCAAGTGGGGGCCAGCTTCCAGGGAGTCCAGGCAGGGCATTGGAAATGCCAGGAGCTGGCAGCAATGGGGTATCCTGACCACCACCAGCTGCTGGGGACCAGGGAAGCGGCAGATGGTGCTGAGAACCGCCAGGAGCTAGAGTAGCCACAGTGCACAGTGCCTGTCTCTGACTCTCCTGCCCCCATCTCTGCTAGTGCCACCCACTGGCCAAACCAACCAGAACCTAGGGAGGGGAAACAGGGTGCCAGTACAGTCCACTAAAGCCACCCTAAAGACTGAGTGAGTGAGAAAGGAGACAGCCATTGGCACAACACACAGAAACCTGGGCACACTGGACGCTCACAAGATCTCCTGCAGATAGACCCACACGTAATGCAGGGGAAGGCCACAAGGCAGCCCCTAGGGAAACAAGGATTCAGACGTCTGAAGCTAATGTGGGCTTCCAGTGAGAATATAAAGTGCTTAGGAGCACATGGGGTCCATAGGAGCCCTCAGAGGCCTCAGAACCCTCAGCAACACTTGGAGACCCCCTACCTCAGTCACTGTTCTATTACTGTGAAGAGACACCATGACCAAGGCAACTCTTACAAAGGAACAGCATTTAATTGGGGGGCTTGCTTACAGTTTCAGAGGTTTATTTTAGTCCATTATCATCATGGAAGTGAGCATAGGGACATCCATGGTGCTGGAGCAGTAGCTGAGAGATAGATACATTGTGATCTGCAGGCTGAGAGAGACTGGGCCGGGCATGGGCTTTTGGAACCTCAAAGCCCACCCTCACTTTCTCTGATAAGGCTACACCTCCTAATTCTTCTAATCTTTTCCAACTGTTCCAGTCCCTGGTGACTAAGCATTCAAGTATACAAACCTATGGGGACCATTCTGATTCAAACCATGCCATCCTGGGAGCACTCAGAGCCCAAAGGAGCACTCAGAGCCCAAAGGAGCACTCAGAGCCTACAGAGCCACTGACTGCAAGACATGGCAGCTGGGCCTGGACATGCTTCCAGCCTCCTTGACACTCCCAAGCTCTACGCCCCGTTTTCTTCATTTGTGTGATGGGGACAGTCACGTGACCTGAGCACTGAGGGCCCATCCCTGTGGCAGGCAGGCCAGGTGACACCATAGCTATCTGCATGTGCTCCAGAGGCCACACAGCTAGGCAGCCTCGGGCAGGCTCCCATTGTCTTTGGGTAAAGGGGGATTTCATCCCCATGACCTCATCAGCCAACGGCCTTCCTTTGGAGGGAGTGGGACACTGGGAAAACTTGGCTCATCCAACTGCCAGGAAGCCAGGACTAGGCCATGACATGAGGGCCCAAGAATGAGGATTAGATTTCTGCCAGGCAAGAAGGCACATGGGGAGGTCACTGTTAGCTCTGCCTGCCCTGTCCCACAGCCACTCATTCAGCACTTCCACTCAGATGCAGGCACCACCCTCAAGGGCCCCACTTCTGAATAAGGGGTGCTGTTCCTTCAGGGCTGTGTTATGGGCCCCATGCTTAGTGCCCTGTGGGCTTTGCTCTGCACTCCTCTCCTCCAGGGGACCTTGTTTTCAAATGGGACCCTGCAAACATACGGGGCCTTTCCTGAATGCCCGGAGTTTTGGGGCCATGGGCTGGACTGGGCTGCGTCATTACCTTGAGGTAGGGTCCAGGAAGCCATGCCAGTACCAGAACCGATTGGATCTGGGCCCTCTGGAAGAACCCATGACATCACTAGGGCAGTCCACTGGAAAAATAACTTCTTTCACATGGCAACAGATCCTGATGTCAGCCCTACAGCTGGGGCCCTCAGTGTGAAGGGAGGAGGGCCCCTTGACACCTGAGGGTCATGCTCCCTAAATCACGTTCCCTCGCCAGATTCAAGTCTTTAAGGGCACCTACACACAGATACACATACCAAAAAAAAAAAAATTAAGATTAAAACAAAACAAAAATAAATAAATAAAACCCCAAGAAAGCCAGATGTGCTGGTTTATCTCAAGCCAATGCAGTGAGAGCAGCCCAAGGCAGACCGGGCCTGCCTATTTGGAGGAGAGCGACCCATAGATGACCTTCTCCCAGATCAGGCTTTCAGGGTTTGCCACATCTGTCCTGGTTGGATGTCCTGTGGCAGCCTGGACTCCATCTGCCCCTACACCTGGCTTAGGGCACCAGAGGGGTCTGTCCTTCTTGCCAGACTGGGTCAGTGTGCTGTAGCTGTTAGCATTGTAGATGGGGTCTAAGGGGCTCCAGCACTGCAGATACATCCAGCGGCGTCGGGAAGAGCAGGAACACCTCGCAAGAGCTCCGGGTTCCCAGGCTTGAAAGGGAGGAGCCATGAGGGCCTCCATACTCCAAGGTGTCCATGTCATCAAGGCCTGGGACTCGCAGGGCACCAGGAGAAATGGAAGGGAGCCTGGGGCGCTCAGAGGACACGCAGAATGGTGGAGTGGGGTTTCTTGGGTGTCCTTGGAGAAAAGGGGGTCTTAGAGGGCCGAGGGTGCAGGGCTACGAGATGAGCCGTTGGCCCTGAGCTGCAGCAGAGCAGACGCTAGCCGCGAGTGGAGACGTGCACGAACTGGGTCGGGCGTCGGCTTCTTTTCGGGGGTCCCCTGTGCCTGCTGCGCGCGCCCTTGCCGCAAGGGGGCGATAGCAGCGAGGGCGGCGCGCGCGCGAGGCGGGGTATTCAAGCGCGTTATAAGGCGCGGAGCCGACCCGCTTGCGCTTGCTGCCGCCGCCGCCGGCATGGCCTCTGCCCGCAGCCCCGCCGGAGCGCTCCTGCTGCTCACCTGCGCCAACCTGATCGCCGCCATGGGCTTCGGCGTCCCGGAGCCCGCCGCGCCCGTGGGGAACCATGCACATCCGCGGCTGCCCGGGACCGAGCTGCCCACCCCGCCTGCCGACAGCCCACCGGTAAGACGGGGCTGCACCCCAGACTTCCCTGTCCCAGGGGGTCGGAGACGGTAGGAAGGTGGCACTCTTGGTTGCGCAGTGTCCAACACCCCAAATGCCCGGTTCAGGGCCTCAGGGAGACCCAGGGTTGAGTGGATGCGCCCTCTGCACTGCGGCTTTGGCGGGAGAATTCCTACTAGGCAAGTAGAAGTTGGGAAAGGTGTGAAATGCAGATAACTTGCTCCTCGCGAAACTGGAAGACTAGTAGAAGAGCGCGGCTCTCAGACCCAGTTCCTTATTGTTAGGAGACTTTCTGTTAGGTGACTGCTAGGGAAAAAGCAATGATGTAACCAGGTTCTGCCCTTCCCTGCCAGGATCTCCACCTGAAATGCTGGGGGTGGGGGAGATGCAGGCTGGGGAGGGTGTGGCCAGAGGCCTGGCGAGCGCGGATTGGCAGCCCTCACTGGAGCGGCTCAGCCCTGGAGGCGAGGGCTCATGGAAGGGTCTCTGTGGGCGGGGCACAAAAAGACCCCAGGCCAGAGTTCGCCTGTTCTCAGCACCCCAGAGGGCAACAAAACATCCACTAAGACAGCTGGAGATGGTTACAACCTGGGGCTCCCTCTACAAGGTATCCCCACCGTCTCATTCCTGCCTCACTCATCCAGCTACCTCACTTGGTCAGGAACCCCCCCCCCCCACACACACACACACACACACATCCGCCCCAGCCATCAGCCTTCAAAACTTTCACGAGATCAAGATATAATCAACAGGAAGCAGGGAAGTGAGCTGGAACTTCCCAGTGGGGTTTTGGTCTTGGACCCTCTTTGGAATGTCAAGGTGTCACTACCTCCCTGATAGCTGGAACTTGACTGGCCAGGGCAGCTGCCCAGCCCCCACTCCAACTCCTGGGGCCTCAGATCAACATGGCTAACAGTGGTCTGAGTCCATGCGCAGGTCGCTGGTCCCCCTGGAAGGGTCAATACACCTGTGATGGGAAGCACTGCATCTCACATTTCCACACAGAGCATCCACAGCAAGAAGCATAGAAGCCTCCATCTTGCCAGCCTAACAGTCTGGCCTGTGACCCACAAGGCACCGGTTTGGGTTGTTCTGAGATCCTGGGTCTTTGTATCAGACACTGGAGTCTGTGCCCATGACTTCTTCTAAGGTCCTGTGAGCCATTGCCTTCCCAGCTGGCAGCCCTGCATGGCAACCAGACTGCTCGAGAGGCCTACTGACTGTCCTATTTGCCAAAGGCCTCTGCCAGGAAACATGGCTCCTCTCAGAGCTGGGCTACTTGGGCCAGTGTTTTAGAAGTGCTGAGAAAGATAAAGGTCCCCTGCAGTGGCCTTGAGTCATGACATCTCACCTGGGCCCTCTGCTCACCATGGCCTGTGACCACAGAGGCCCCGAGGCTGGTCTCCTTGGCATTTCTGACTGTGGGGAGGGAAAGAGGACCCGCTGTCAGCCAGGATTCACATATTCAGTCACCTCCCGAGCACCTGCGGGTGCCAGTGACTATCAAGGATGGTGAGACTGTCCTGGTACATCTCGAGGAAGGACAGGAAGATGTGTCCTAGAGCACCTGCTGCAGAGTCCCACTTCCCATCTTCCTGCAGCCTGGGCTCTCCCAAAGCACACTGAGGGTTCACCCTCCATGGGCTGGGAGTGGGGGGGGGGGGAGACAACCACACTACCTCTGAGAACACAAATGACAAGGTCCCTTGTGCTGCCAAGCAATGCCACAGAGCAAACCAACCAACCTGTGGCCATCTGTGTTCCAGGAGCCCACCATGGCGCATGCACACAGTGTGGATCCCCGGGATGCCTGGATGCTGTTTGTTAAGCAGAGCGATAAGGGCGTCAACAGTAAGAGGAGGGGCAGGACCAAGGCCAGGCGGCTGAAGGTGAGCAGCAGGTGCTACTGCCCTCACCAGCCCCCAGCACCCGTCTCCAACAGCAAAGGCCACGCCAAGAACCAAATACCAAGCCGGGGTCCAGTTAGGAGCCTGGTTCCAAGCCTTCACACTATACCCTTAGGATGCCAGGCTCTCCCTAGGTTTTCCCTCATGCCCAGAGAGAGAAGATTGCCCAACATGTGTTTGGGAGTCAGAGTGCCTTCAGGCTGATGGGGTGTTACAGGGAGGCCCTCTCAGTATGGCCCTGGCCTGGGACCAGATGGATGCCTCCTGCATTGAACTCCTCAAAGTGACATTGGATCAAGGCTGGGCCTTACTGTGTGTTGGCCTTCTCTCTTGAGGTCAGCCTTGGCTGCCCAGGATCTGACCCATTGGGCCAGAGAGGTGGTGGGTTGGCCCTGCACCCTTGGCCACCTGACCTTGCCCAGGCTTCACTATGCAGGAGCTCGTCTCCCTTCTCTTCGGTCCTGACCCAAGCCAGTATAAACTCTTTCAGGGGCCCCAGAACCAAGTGCAGTGGAGACTTGCTGGTGTGTCCCATGTCAGAATGAGATGCAAGTCCCCAGAAACGGCCTGGAGTGGCCCTTTCTCTGAGATTCACAGCAGGAGAGGCAGTTACAGTGTTCTGCCTGCAGAACCTGCCCTGCCCTGCGCCACCCGCAGTGAACTTCATCCCTGAACAATTCATTCCATCCTCACACTCTCTGGGTCTGTGGCTCTCACTCCCTGCTTGGTGACAGATGGATATGAGAGCCCAAAGGAGAGAAGAGTCCACACCGCATGGGCGCTCTCCCGTCTGCCCCTCTCTAGCAGGACCTGGCAGAGGGTCACCCACGGCCATGCCCTCCCCTCTAATGTTCCCATCACTTACCTTCCCTTCCAGCTTGGCCTGCCAGGACCCCCAGGGCCACCAGGTCCTCAGGGGCCCCCAGGGCCCTTTATCCCATCTGAGGTTCTGCTGAAGGAGTTCCAGCTCTTGCTGAAAGGTAAGGGTACCACCCTATGGGCACATGCTCCAGGGGAAGCCAGCAGGGCAACTCTAAAAGGCAGACTTCAGCACCCCGCAAACACCTGCAACGTTGCTCTCCCGTGGGCAGCCCTACCTGCCGTGGGGCGGGCTTGGGGTGGGAGAAAGGTGGCAGAGGTTCATGGAGGAAGACAGACTACCTTCCTTTCACTGTTCTTTACTGTGGACCAGCACTCCCCCCCATCTCCAAGTTAGGAGACCAGTCCAGAGCTAGGGAGTGGCTGTCTCTATCTTCTGGAGCTGACTGGACCAGGGAGAACTGTTAGGAGCTCTTTCTTTTCCTGCTTCCATCCCATGGCTTGTTTGGTTTTAAATAAGCCTCCAGCGGGGAAGAGCCTTTGTGTTACCTCCAGTGTGGCCACAATAGGTATTCATACACAACTTTTCCAAAAATACGCGTGTGATAGAGAGGTGAGACTAGAGGGCGAAGGTACTGGGTACCGGATATGCACCCGCTGGAGCTTGCGGCAAATAGCAGCTGCAGGGCCAGGCAGGAGTGTCCCCAGGACCTCACCGGGGCTGCCAGCCTCAGTCCCCACGCTCCAGGGCCACGCGCGGGAGGGCACAGTGGTCCCCTGACCGCTCTCTGTCAGGCGCAGTGCTGCAGCGGGAAAGCACCGAGCCCAAGCACTGCACCAGCGATTTCACCACACCAGCCTCGGGCAGCCCCTCCCGGGTCCCGGCCGCCCAGGAGCGTGACAACGACCAGGACCTAGGGGCTGTGTTGGCGCTGCTGGCTGCGACCCTGGCCCAGGGCCCACGGGCGCCACGCGTGGAGGCTGCGTTCCACTGTCGTCTGCGCCGGGATGCGCAGGTGGAGCGGCGCGCACTTCACGAGCTAGGGGTCTACTACCTGGTGAGTGGGGCGGGGTCAGCCGGGTGGAGCAGGGCGGGACCCCCGGTGACCTTGTCTGTGTGCTCCTTAGCCCGACATCGAGGGAGCCTTCCGCCGGGGCCCAGGCTTGAACCTGACCAGCGGCCAGTACACCGCACCGGTGGCTGGCTTCTACGCTCTCGCCGCCACTCTGCACGTGGGTGAGGCCCGGGGCGTGGTGGTGGGGCGCCTGCTGCCCTGGCCTTGCCAGCACACACGTGACCACCTCAACTTGTCCTTCCTGCAGCACTCACAGAGCAGCCGAGGAGAGGACCACCACGACCTCGGGACCGTCTACGCCTGCTGATCTGCATCCAGTCCCTCTGCCAGCACAACGCGTGAGTGGCCGCTGCAGCCTGGCCCCTGACAGTATAGAGCGCCTCCTCCATTCCCGCTACCACTAGGGCGGGGGGGGGGGGGGGGGGACCCCCGACTCCATCATGCCCAAACAGGACCTTCTCTGTTCTGTCTCTTTTCTGAGCTTTCCTGACACCAGGACTCTCATTCAGAGGACAGAGGGAGTCATATCTGGAGGGGCTTTTGGGAGAATTCCACAAGCCCTCTCTTGGCACTCGCCCACGCCCCACCTGTGAATTTTCCTCTTGATGACTTAAGTTGCTCATTGCTGGTGGTGTCCACCCCGTGCGCCTCATTTGGTCCATAAGAACAGGGACTGTGGTCCTCTCTGCCTGGCACCTGGAATGGAAGCCAGCCAGGGCAGGTGCTCTGCACAGCTGGAGGACGAGTGAATGAACAGGGAAAGTCTCAGATCTAATCTGGCTTTGGACTTCCTGGATCTGCTGGCTTTCTGTAGCACCTGCTGCCTCCCATCTCGGCCTGTCCTTGTTTCTCCTGGGAGAACCAGGACTTTGTGCCCTTGGCATGGCTCCAGCCTTTCTTGTCTTTCTTCCTGAGGACCCAGTTCAAACACCCCCTCCTAGGGATGATGGCTTTGGACCTAGCACTTTGCTGCACATGGTGTTGATCGCTGGACGACTGCTGCTCAGCGCACTGTGAGGTGGTGAGGCCTGGGGACAGGCTGACCGTCTTTCTGTCTTGGGTGCAGCTCCCTGGAGACTGTCATGGGGCTGGAGAATAGCAGCGAGCTCTTCACCATCTCAGTAAATGGTGTCCTGTATCTGCAGGTGTGTGGGGCTGTGCCGACCATGCAGGAGGTATGGGGGTGTGGTGGTAGGTGTTCAGGGCCACTGGGCACAGCACCCTTAGACACTCTCAAGTGCTGGTGCTGGCTTGAGAAGAGCCAGGCTTCAGGTCCCATTCTCCCTCCAGCTCTTGCTCCCCAACCTGTGTTGAGGGACAGTGGTCTCACTTTCAGACCTTCCAAGAATCTGATAATGTGATAGGTGCTTCCAGCCACCTAGGCCCTCCCATGGGGCAGGGAGGGTGGGCAGAGTAGTTGATGCCTGAGCCCTCTGGAACTACAGGAGGCCCACAACAGTTATTTTCTGCACAGAACTCAGTGACAGTCTTGCCACTGTGGATCTGCCGAGTGGTAGGGATGTGGATGTCAAAGTGGATTTACTAAAAAGGAAAGTGAAGAGAGATGTGTCGAATGATGGAGTGCTCACGTAGTTCTCTACTGAGCTCTAGGGTGGGTGGTTTGGCTCAAGCCAGCTGTTAGCGCTGGAAGCATGAATTCCACTGAATTCTAAGGGTGCATGTACCACATGGGTCCTCAGGAGCAACTATCCCAGGTGGCTCTCAGTCTTTATTATGGCAGTGTCCAGGGGAAGTTGGGCCGCTGATATGTGGACCACACTGGGGCAGCAAGGTCAGAGCAGTGCTCACGATGGAAGCTAGCCTTAGGAAGCTGCTAGCCTCCTAAACCCCACCTGGGCCCTGAGTAGGAGCTTTCTCCCATACACTGAGATATGAAACACTGGAGAGCAATAGAATAAGGGCCGGATGTACTGGTTGTGAGCACAAGACTAGTCAACATTGGCTCTGGACTTAGGTCTGTCCCTTCTCTCATGTGGGGCAGAGTCGGCCACAGTGTGGACAATAACCCCTGTTGAGCACTGCAGGCTGCCCAGGACTCCTGCTGCAAGGGCAGCCTGACACCTGACATGTGCCCTTCCCTGCAGACAGGACACTACACCTCCGTCTTCTTGGACAATGCCAGCGGCTCCTCCCTCACGGTACGCAGCGGTTCCCACTTCAGTGCTATCCTCCTAGGCCTGTGAGTGGCTGCTGTGGGCTCTTACCCTCACCACGCAGAGCGGTCTAATGTCTACAGCATCAACTGACAGCAGCTCTGTGCAGGAGCCCATTGGACCTCTACACACACGGGCCACTGCATTACCTCTTAGCACAGCTACCCTAGACATTCCTGAAGAGGTGATGGAAGGAAGCAGGCTCTCCCAGAACCAACAGCAATTTGTGGGTATCTTAAGTCCTTCTTGGCTCTTCAGGGACCATCCAGCATACTTGGTAGCACTTGCTATATCCCCAGCTGCAGAGCTGGCACCCTTGTGTCTCCATACAGCCTCAGATTCCTTCCTGTGGCCCAGCATCCTCAGTACTTTGTCGGGAGCTCTAGCCAGGCTACAACCTGGAACAGCTCATTCTGCACATGGCAGGGCTATGAGGACTATGATTGTGGGTCCTTAGTGTTTAAAAGGGGAGCCCAGGCCATCTTGGACCACACATCCTGTCTACCTAGGTTCCTGGGTCCATATACAGCCACATTCACCATGCCTCTGCCTGCAGTGTAGCATCAAGGACCTAAGGACTCAGGAGCCAGTGAGCCTGGGCCTGGCAGCAGTTTCTGCTTCTGGGGTAAGCAAGATGAACCACAGGCCCTTTGGTGGGCACCCTAACGAAAGGGGCATCCCTTTCACAGAGAAGCCATCTTCACCCTCTACAAAGGTTACCCTTTCCCAGCCTCTCTGAAGCTCTGGCTCACCCACCAAGCAAAAGTTTGAGTGCAGTTATGCACACACCATCTCTTCACAAGCTTCCCGTGTGAGACCTGCTCTTGCGGTGAAGGTGGTCTGGCTGTGTGGGTGGCCTGGTAGTGAAGCAGCTGGCTGAGGGCTCTTCCCATGAGGAGGAAGCAGGACTGCCAGCATGCAGCTTGTCTCAATGCCGTCTCCCCATTTTTAACAAAATGTGGGACTGGCCCCACACAGGCAGTGGAGAGGACTGGGACCTCCAAGGTTCCCTGCTGCTGAAGAACTGACACCAGCACATCCATCCCCACCGGCTGCTTTGGGATCTCTTGGCCTAGCAGGAGTGCTCAAGCCTGGAATCGGGGGTGGGGTGGGGGAGGTAGGCAGCAGTTGCTTCACCTTTCAGCTGACCTCAGGAAGAGGTTACCACAGCAAGCCTGTTTGCCTTCTTATAATCAAACTTCTCCCCAAAGCAGGCTGCCAACACACAGCAGCAGGGGAATGGAGGGCTCTGTCCATGAGCTGGCCTGGCCCGATTCTCAGTAGGGATGGTACCCACCCTACCAGGAAGCACTGTATTGGCCTGGGTCCTAACTCCCTGGCACTTTGATAAGGACATGGGGTAGACACACCCTTCTCTGGATTTCACTTTGTATCCAGTGGGCACAGACCTGTTAGCAAAGTTATCTTCTACCCTTGAGAAAGCCACATACGCACCTATCTCAACAACTGTGCTCACAGCAACTTAGAAGCACTGTGTCATATTGCATGGAAGAATGTGTTTATGTGACGGATCACACAAAGCCGATGAAGGGCAGACTCGAGGCTCATGACCTTCTCTTCCCAGGCCATCTCACAAAGGACCACGAGGGGTGAGATCTGGAAAGCGAGGGGGAGATGCCTCTACTCTTGGGGCTCCCCCTGAAGGTGGCAGAGGCTCTTACTACCTAGGAAGGCCATAGTGCCAAGTGTCTCCCTGACAGACAGTGGCACTTAGGGACATGGGTCACATCCTCTGAGGCACTGAATGACTCCTGGGTTACTACAGGAATTTGCTGAATTAAACTGCTCTGCTTTCTGATGAGGTGGCATTTTGTTCCGTATGCCAGGCTGTCCAGGTCCTAGTTTCTGAGCAGGGGGATGGTTGTCTCATTCCCTGGGGAAAGGGTAGGGCCGATGTTCTTCAATTGCATTTGTTTGGGAGGGTGCCTGGGCATACCGTGACTTAGATATGGAAGTCAGATGACAGCTTACAGCAGCAGATCTCACCTTCCACTTTGTGGAGACTGATCTTAGGTCCTCAGGCTTGACAGGAAGCACCTTCACCAGCGAGCCAGCCCACTGGGCCCACATTCAGTTATTTTAAAAATTCCTTTTTGTATGTAGTATGTGCAGGCATGTATTTATGTGTGAGCATGTGAATGTGAGGTCAGAGGTCAATCGAGAGTCTTGTTTCTGAGGAGCCAAGCACCTTGTTTTGTGCAGACAGTAGCTCATTAGGTCCCAGATGCAAGCCCTAAGGACCTACCTGTTCCCAACTCTGCTGGCTGTCCTGGAACTCACTCTGTAGACCAGGCTGGCCTCAAACTCAGAGATCCGCTTGCCTCTGCCTCCCAAGTGCTGGGACTAAAGGTGTGCACCACCACTACTCCCTGGGCTTTTTATGTGGATGCTGGGGATCACTTTTACTCGATGAGCTGTTTCCAGCTCCACTCCACCCTACTCCCTGGCCCTGGCAGGGAGTTTTGTTTTGGGAAACAGTGTCTCATGTGTCCCACTTGTTATAGCTGAAGGTGGCTTTCCACATCTGATCCTCTTGCCTCTACCTGTCAAGTGCTGGGTCACAGGAATGCACCACCACGCCTGGTTTATGTGGTGCTGGGGAAAGAAACCAGGATTCCATGTATGCTAGGAAAGGCCTCTACCAACTAAGACACATCTTCAGCCCTCAGTGGGTTTTTAGAAACAGGGTCTTACTACATAACCCAGGCCGGCCTCCTGAGTATCCCTGCATTTAATGTCTATTTATGGCTTTTCCATGACAGACCTGAGAAGTCATTTATGGTTTGTATAAGATATTCTGAGGTCCTTATAGATCCATATCCACATCCACAGCAGACTGGCCAAGGGGTGGTATGGCTGGGGAGGAGAAGGGCAGTAGTTGTTACAAAAACAGGTCTGGAGAGGCGGCTGGGCAACCCTAACAGCCCCAGGCCAGGTGTTTACATAAGAAGCTGCAAGAGCTCTTCACTAAATGACCCGAGCACTGACTTCCTACACAGAAAGTGTTTACAGGCAGGTTAAAAGGTTCGGGGGGGGGGGGGGGGGGGGGGGGGGGGTGGGGGGGGGGGGGGGGGGGGGGGGTGGATGATGCTCTTGCCCAGAGGTTCCCTGACATGTTTACCTCAGGCAGCAAAACCAAGCACTCAACTGATGCTGTGGTGGCTGGTGACATCAGGGTGAAAGTCAGGACAACAGTCCTTTAAAGGAGTAGGAGTGAGCTGAACGTAGCTGTTGAGGAGGCGTGATGGGACTGGCACTCCATGTGGTAATCTCATCTGTGGGCCCCATTCCAGCCACACCTGGGTTCCTGCTGGAAATGCTCAGCATGTGTTCTGTACAGAAAACTGAACAAAGCCTGACTGACACTCCATCATCCCACTGCAGGGTCCCATTCCCCACAGCAGCCATGATGAGGGTGAGAGCATGTGAACGACATAACAGGTCATTGTGGGCCTGTCCAAGATGCCCAGGATGATTCAGACGAGGACAGACCCAGAGCACATTCTAAAGCAAACAGTTAACTCAGGACCAGTCACTCAAAGCAAATTAAAGGAACTCCAATGACTAGGAAAAAAGAAAGGTTTATTTACAGCCATAGAAGTCCCACAGGAGCACACACACCGTGCACAGAGAAAATGAACCTGCAAGTCCAGAGCGCATGTGCAGGCCCTCAGTGTCCTACCCTCACTACCATCACCGTCACGTTGTCTGCTGAGCCCCGCTGCACTGCCTTGTTAGCCAGCCTGTTGCATGCAGCTTCATAGCGGGCATCGACAGCAGGCTTCCCTTCTCGGGTCTGGATCTTTTCATCCTACCAAAGGGATGGGAGCTGAGTGACTAGGACATCAGCCTTTGTCATTATCCCAAGACACTACAGCCGGGAAAGTGCCTGCTCTGTCCTCACACAGGCTGGCGGGACAGAGTGACTGGTGAGCCCCCAACAGGGTTTGTGTTGAGAAGACTTCAAGAATTACTCCTGACACAGGGGTATGGAAGTAAAGAGCAGCTGAGACAAGTGGCACACCCTCTAAGATGTCTCACCTCAAGGCAGGACAAGATGAAGTTCACAGCTTCCTCTGGGGTAAAGACCTTGAAGAGCCCATCACAGGCCAGCAAAATGAACCTACAACATTGGGAAGAAACGAGGGGGTTTCAGCCACAAGCTCTTTAACAGGAGGTGATCTGAGGGACAGTTCAGTGGAAGAGTAGTTAGCTGCCTAACGCAAGGAAGGCACTGGTTCCATACTCAGTACTCCCCCCCCCCCCCAAAAAAAATAAAAGGATAGTGGCATACACATGCATAATCTCAGTCCTCTAGAGGTAGAGAAGGGGTCACTCTGGCTACAGAAGACCTTGTCTCAAAAGACCAAAACCAACTGAGCTTGCTAGCACATGCCTTTAAACCCAGCACTCAGGAGGTAAAGGCAGGTGGATTCTGAGGCCAGCTTGGTCTAAATAGTGAGACCCTGTCTCAAAAAACAAACAAAAAACCCCAAAACCAAACCAGTAACTTTGTGTCTGTCCAACAACTCAGTGGCCAAAATTTTTTTTTAAAGCAATAGAAACAAGAAAGCTAAAACTCCTTTGAGTTGTGGGTGGGATGCTGTATACCACAAGAGGGACTACATTTTCCCCACCCACCAATAGAGATGCTGCATCCTGGCACCTCAGGGACAACCACGACAACAGCAGGTGTGTAGTGAACACACCCTGGGATCTACCACCACAGGCCCAAGAATGGAGAGCTATGGGCAAGCTAAGTGAGGCACCCTTGGGTAGTGCTTCACTCCTGAGGGCCCCAGATTCCAAAGTGAATCCCCCCATTCTCTGGTCTGAACATAGCTCACTCTCCCCGAGATGACCAGAGGAAGCTTCTGAGCATCCATGTCTCACTGAGGCAGCCACTGCTGGCCTGGCCTGGCTTTAAGGTAGTTAGCTGCCTTTGCTTCCTATCCTGTCCAGTTTCCCTCTTCTGACAGGGCACGTGCCCAGCCACATTTTCTGGGCACACAGCCTGAGATTGAGACATGGTGGGGACAAGTGTAAGCAGGTTATTCTTTCCAGTATTTTTAGTCAGATTAGAGTAATTAATCACACAGATGTGTGCTTAGACCGCAGTCAGGTAGCTAGCTGGCTTGGCCTCATCCAGGGCAGAGAAAGCGATAAAGAAACCCTACAAAAGGGCTCCCAAGACTCTAGGATGGCTAACAACATGGCGCAGGCAGGCGTCAGAGCTATGCCAGGAGGCTGCCATGTGGCTACTATTCTCTGCCACCCACCCCGCTTCAGCTCAGTCCTGTTTTCCTGAGTTCAGCCTTCACCAACCTGCTGGGGTCAGGAAAGCTCCCTGCTCTGTAGCCTGGTCCTTGGCCATCCTTGCTAGGCTCCCTATGCTACCCTCACAAGCCCATGCCTGGTCTTGATCTACCTGCAACAGATGATGCCTGAACAGGAAGTCTTTCTCAGCCTCTGCTCCTGTGACTACATTTATGAGCTAAAACCCAAATGCCTCAGTGAAACCCAAGATCCTGCTCAATCTGTCCCCAGAACTTTTCTCACTTCCTCCTCCATCCATCATTTCCCAGTCACCATTATTAGCACAGACCTGGCTGCTTCACACTGTTCCCTGAATGAGCTGACATGGGTTGGGATGATCCTTCTGGAAGGGATGCTCTTCCCCCACTGCTAAAGCCTCCTGGGACAACTTCCACACTCCTGTGATAAACCATGTATCCACCTCATTTGTTCCCTGACCACTGTAGACCCCATGAAACCAGAAACCACGGTCTGTCTCCACACCCCAGGGCCAGGCAATGGCCCCAGCAAAGATGGAACACAGATTGGAGCAAAGTCAGAAAGAGAAACAAGCCCCTGTGCATGTACACCAACACCTCTGGTGACCATGTGCTTTTACCTGTCATTGGGGGTCAGTTGACAACGTCTGATATCAGGCACAGATGTGACCCCACAGCGCTTGTACTGCCCATCTCCAATGGAACGGGATACCTCCAGCACGCCCAAGACACGCCCATCTCTAAAATGAGTAGAACAATGTCAAACTCTCACTTGACAGGTCAAAGGTCCCCAAAAACAGAAACTCAGAGATCATGGTAGCTGGGCCTGATAGTTCTTTTTGTTTTTCAAGACAGTTTCTCCTGGCTGTACTAGAACTTGTTCTGTAGACCAGGCTGGCCTCTCAAAGATCCGCCTGCCTCTGCCTCCAGTGCTGGGAGGCACCTGGCTAGTGTAACATTTGTCTCAGGTGAGGTGCAGACATAAACCTAGGTCATTCCAGTCCTGTTCCCCTAGGGCCTGGGAACTCATACAGCTGTACACTGTGACAACTGGCATCATCCAACCTAACTGCTGGTGAGCTCAACAGCGAATCTCACTATAACGCTTACACTCCTTCCCCAATTTCCCATGCCCAGTTATCTGGACAGGACAGGGTGGGTCCTAGGCCCCTTAGATGACTGAGCATGCAGCAGCCCGTGTTCAGGTGGCCAGGAAAGAGCGTGGTCTGCATTCTAACTGACGAGGCCAGGCTCAAAGGACCATCGAGGCTATGCCGCCTGGATGCTGAAGTGCTTTCTTCACATCCGCAGTGTGACGACCACACTCTCATTATATTCTCAACCATACTTTTTGCTGAGGGGCAGGGAAGAAACAGGAGATGGATGGCCTGCAAACAGGAAGAGGCACCTAATACAGACACCACGACTCAAGAGAACCAGTGTGGAGTCCCACTGCCCCTAAGAATCAACCTAGCCCAGGCGCTCACTGTGACCACATGGGCCCTTAGGCCATCATTTTAAGACTTAGTAAAGGACAAAGCAGTGTGGTAGGTTCAATAGCACAGCAGTTCCTAAGTCACAAATGAGATGCTGTATAGGCAGACAGGTGGGACAGGAAGTTTTTCCTAGGCTAGTGCTACAGTCCTGGAGACAGCACTGAGCCCAGCCTTGACCCCTCAGGGTTCTAGTCACCCACAGTGGCTCACTTCAGCCATCCTGAATGAATATGCTTTTTTAATCCCTAAAGACTTCTGCTGGCACCTGGGAAAAGCAGAGCATTCTAGAACACATACTAGATAGAAATGGAACAAAGTGAGTCCCCAGGAGCAATGCTTAACAGTGTGGGTGCTCAGCTTGGGAGCACCCACGGAGGAAGCAGCCCCACACTCTGAGCACCTCCTCTGCAGCCCTCAGACCTTCCTACTCTAGTTCCCCCAAGCTAAGACTCCTTCCTGCTCTTTAGGGATTTGGGGCTCAGCTGGCTGCTGAAGAAAGGAGACTGCTGACTTCTGAAGCCTATCCACACTGCTGTGTGCAGCTAGGCTGGAGGAGGGAGCTCTATCCCCGAGAGCAGATGTCCAAAGGCAGCAAGTAAACATGAGCCTGACATAAGCTCTGGTCCCTGAGGACACGAGACTAGCACTCAGCCCAGGCCCAGGTGCATGGCGCTGACGGACTGCAATGTCAGTGTCTTCAGAAAGCCTCTCCCTGTCTGGCTAGATCCTTCCCTATAAAATAAAAATAACCTCTCTTCGTGCTCTCAGAGGAATCCTTGCTGCACACTGCCCTCATTGTAATGATCACAAAGTTGCTTATTTTCTTAGGAAACGCCAGAAAAGTATCAGTAAACAGAGATGAACCCCGCCCTCTCTAAACGCCCTTCACTCAGTTTGTGTCTGAACTATGTGGTAAAGGAGTAAGAGTCACACGACATAAACCGCATTAACTATCTTAGGCTGTTTGGTGGTGTTATAGACACTCATGTGGGCACAC